ATTCGAGGTCCCATTCGAGCGATCCCCGCTGAGGAAGTGGTGTGGTAGGAAGCGGAGCTGGAGTGGATAATACAGGAAAGGAGAAGAATGCACCATAAGATGCCATCTCCAAACCTTCAGTGCTTGTAGCTGGCATTTCCAGTGCTCCGGAGTTGTTAGAGGATGTCATAGTAGTGTAGCGCAGTCGAAACAAACGCAAGACACACCAAAATTGTATTATTTTGTTTGTTTTAGCCACCATACACTTGTATGCAGCCTAAAGAATGTTTAATTTTCGTTTTAGGAAGGTATGATCTACAATCATTATTCTATCACATTACATTATCATCTATCTAATTACATGAGCACTCTATCATTACATCACTCAGGGCCATCCCTATTTGGGCCATGGAACTCAGGGTCCGGGTGCGGAAAGTCAAAGGTCCACAATTTGTGTTCGTGACGCTGATACTAGGCAAGTCGTTGTGGCCCCGTTTGAAGGGCACAACAATTCGGTCCGTTCAGTCGCATTCTCGCTTGATGGCAGGTATATTGTCTCTGGCTCTCAGGGTGGCAGGATTTGTGTTTGGGATGCTGAGACCAGGGGGATTGCCGCGGGTCCGTTTAAAGGGCATGATGGAACCGTGGAGTCTGTTGCATTCTCTTCCGACGGGAAGCGCATTGTCTCCGGCTCCAATGATCGCACGATTAGGATTTGGAATGCCGAAACCAGTGCAGACATGTTTATTGAAATACTTAGTGCCATTATTCATGACTCATATTCTGTGATAGGACCACTGGATTGGGCTTCAGGTAGCCTAGAGGTGATGACAGAAACAGGCATCTCAGAACTGTCAGATAGCCACTTTGAGTCAAGTTGGACTATGTCTGAGGACGGATGGATTCTTAGTGAAGATGGAGACTTCCTTACATGGATCCCGCCTGACTTACACCTAACCCTTTTGTATCCCTACTGTACAGCTGTATTTGGCAGGCAATTCTCAACCCAACTGGACTTGACAGCTTCACCACTGGGAGAGCACTGGACTGAGGGCTATATAGAGCCTCCTACTAATTCCTTACATTTTATTCAGTATGAATTATCCTAGCATTATATTATTATTTATATCAATGTATAATTCCTTAATACTATCTCTCTATACATTGACTTTGTTACTTATAATGAAAGTTCTACAGCAAATATTATATACTACAGTATAATAATACCTTTTCTGACCAAACTATAGTATTACTGTCTTTAGACTATGGCTAAGCAATCAAAACATTACAAATACAGTAGAGTCTAATTTGAAAGCAGATGTAGGTTTTACTACCAGATAATACTATTCAATTAGCTTTTAGGAGCAACTTTTTGTGATTCAACTTTACAGGTTTACATCTTTTACAGCCTTTTCTGCCTCAACAACTCTTCTTATCCTGTGACATAGAAGAATACTGTGTATGACAGTAAAACAAGGTATCCTAAGCATATACTAATCTACATGATATGTTGCTCTATCATGCAATTTGTGAAAAAATACTTTACTCAATCCATAAAGCATGACTGAGAATAGCAGCTGCCAAACATATCGAATAATCCTGATCTTTTCAAGATACAAGAAAGAGCCTTTTCTAGTGAGATATAGTGTGACCTTTTAACAGGGACATTCTTGTTATCACGACATCAGGAAAATGCTCTCTACATTTGCAGAAGTTTCTTACAATCCGATTAAGTACCTGATGCTACCTGCCTGAGATATAAGGTACAAGGACTGCAGGAGAGCGTGAAAATCACAGGCTAAAGGGCACGAAAACCTCGTTATTCTGTCGAAATGACTCAGGGTTTCTGCACTGACGCTCAATTTAGGTAGAAGACGCCCCTTCTTTCGAACTGGCATTACAATATCCCATTTGCGTGTCTAGCCAGTAGGATCAATTTCACTATTGGAAAATTATTGGAAGTGTAGAGACGCGGGAAGGTGGGATCATGTTGCATTTAAGTTTCGTTTCTATGTGTATAAGGTTCTGTAGAGCAGGAACGAGGATACAAAGATCGAGACGAGTCAACGCTGTGAATGAGACATGACCACACGGCGATCAGGGATCTCAATCGGAGTCAATCCATCTCTACATGTCTCGATCCGATCCTAGATAAATCAGAAGTAGAGTTTGAAGAGTAGAGTGAGACGGTCAACTATGGAGTGCAGATTGTGATATTCTAGCGGCGTCAAGCGCGGACATGATGTGAAGAAGCATGTCGACCGAGCTGTCGATTATTCTTATAGAATCAAGGCATGACGTCTATGCAACTGCAGAAGTCGAGCACCTAAAATCAGGGATATCGAAGGTAGGCTGATCGTCTGGACCTGATGAACGAGTCAGGAGAGAAGCATAGATGAGCGCGAACACCTTTCGGATTCGTGACGTATGACAGAATTTTACGAGGATGGGTTTCTAGGGCTAATCGGAAGACAGTGCATGAATATATACTCTGGAAGCTCAGAATTCAGGAGTTAGAAGAGAGAGAAAAATAAGGACGAGCATATGGGATAATGAGCTGGAAGAACTGAGGATATTGAGCGCAGGACATGCGCACTCAAAGAAAGAAACGTTTTTAAGGTTCACAGATCCGAAACAGCCCAATGTGGGAAACCTGTGAAGGCGAATCCGTCGATCGGCGCTACCTGATTGGGTGTGATAATTGCTGAGGAGGCAACGCCGAGAGGTCCGTGTGGTGTGTTTTCCTTCCTTGCGCTGATCAGGAGAGCGACGGAACCAACTTCGCGGGGTTTCCCTTTTGTCTTCTTGGCTTGTGTTTCCTTGTCGGTGTGCTTTCTTTCCCGACTCTCCGCGGCCGCGGGCTGCTCAGCAAAATTACGCCAAGTTCTGTTGGAATGGCTGGATGGGGCTAGAAGGACTATGAGAGCACCACTGAAAGGCGGAGAAGAAGCATGGCAAGTTATTGTGTAGAAGTGACTTGAGACACATGCGGAGTCTTGTTGGATGATGGGCATGTCTTGCGGTCGTAAGACCTCGGAGCAAGTTCACTTCACGGCGCAAACTCAATCTCCCGTTGCCATTCACGCTCATGCAAACTCATATGTTCACAACAGTTCCTGTGCTGAGAGTATCTCGAATCTTGATGCTCTACATAAAGTACCGTAATACAGTTCTGAAGCGCAATTAACAAATAACCGAATATCTGCGAAGATGCAGGAATGAATTGAGGGCAATAGAGAGTAAGCTAGCGTGTCAGACGGAAGAACGCGAGCCTAATCAACATCGAAGATCGAGATTTGGGTTCTTGAAGATGGGTGGGTACTTTAGATCTCCATAAGTAAGCTCTTCAATTGCTTCTTTTGCTGGAGCTTTTCCTGAGCGCCTCTGCCGAGTAGAACGAAGAGGGTAATTCTAACCGGGATAGCGATGCTGAAAAGAAGAATGGGACGGGTAAGAAAGTTTTTCTCGTTCGGCGATCTTTTATAGTTATTCCCTTTGTTGTGCCCTAACCAAATATTGATCGACACTTAGTAGGGAAAAATAGGAGCAAACAATCGGCTGATTCACAGGGCTGTCAGCTATGTCGCCACCATGATCTTAGTCGTTCAGACATGTTCGAGCGTGCATTCATGGTTGAACATACATGGTTGGCGAGAGATACGTGCCTGGACAGATATAGAGACTGGAAAGCCGCATTCTAACCGCCAAACACGGGACCAATACGGTGGATGAATAGCCGTAGCCGATAGGCCGTCGACCTTTTTTTAATAGACGGGGCCATGGAAGAGCTTCTCTTCCTCGTGTTCCTATTTGAGTGACCCAGACGCGACTGTCATATAGCTACCCTTCTCTCCTTCCTCTTCTCAACCTCTCTCTATAACTATCCCCCTCACCGCGCTCTCTGCTCAACCCACCCCGCCGACTTGGCCTGCTCCCGCGAACGTCCCTGATCCTGCGTTAGTTGCACGAGCGCGCACAATGGTTGACTGGCAGTCCCAAGAAGAGATTATTAAGGACGGCAGTACGTACCACCGATGAGCTCGGATCGGGTGGCATTCCCACTTCCCGCTCCCTGCTCACCAGATTTTGTAATTTTGCTTCCGCAGATTCATTGCTAACGCGTTTGTGTGCTCTCCCCAGATGTATTCTCCAAGCTCATGCATTGTCTCTTGGGAATCTACCTGTGCGCATGCGCTCTTTCAAGACCTCTCCGTATTCATTTTCTGAGTCATTTGCTTGTATACTCAATACAGATGGGAGTTCTTCATCTCACTCCCTTTCGATTTCGACTTTTTCCTTGGGCGAAAAGCGTTCAAGTGGCCTCTGGTACGTCATCGGCGCGGTCTATTTCGCATACAGCCTAGTTCAATCATAATGTCATAGATATTCTACTTTGCAGGGCGTTATTCGCTCTTGTTTGCTTTGATCGGGATGTAAGTTGTCACTCTGAGAAAGTTTGAGGTGGAGCATGGTTTACTGATATGCGCCATTTAATGTTTAGTGCCATCGCTCTAAACGTGACCCAGTGAGTTCGGCTGAATGATTGGGAATCCGATCTCATCTAACCTATGTTAATATGAAACCTCAGACCGATTGATTGCCAATCCCTGTATATTTTCAATCAAGTCTTCGGTAACGCCGCAATCGGGTTTGCGTCTATCAATCTTTCACTCCGTACGATCGCGGTCTGGTCACAAGCGCTTTACATCGTCGTTCCTCTCGTCCTCATCATTCTCGGACATTGGTCACTTCTCCTCCATGGACTACTTATCAGCGCAGCATGGGTACCTCCCGCTGGTTGCACTATTACCAAGACGGACAATACGATCCTTGCGGCGACCTTCATCTATTCGATGTGCTTCGACTTCCTTGTCTTGTGTCTCACAGCATACAAGCTACTTTTCCCAAATAGTGGGCGGAGCAGACTTGTCAAGCTTATTTTCAATGATGGCCTTATCTTTTTCATCGTCGCGTTAGTAGTCTTTCAGGCTACCTGCGAATTTGCTTTTGCTTATTGACATTTCTCTCGATCGTTTAGGTTCCTCGCAAACCTTCTTGCGACAGTGTTCATGCTGCTTAATCTGAACGCAGTGATGTCTATCATTTTCAATGTTCCTGCTGCCATTGCGTCGACGATTGTAGCTTCTCGTGCCGTGCGTCGCCTCACCAAGTTCACAAGCAAAGGCCCCGAGGTTTTTACGTCACGGTAAGACAAACTCTAGATATTTGCAACCGTCCAGGTTTTCATGCATCATCGTGCTTCTAGCGTTGGGCAGGCGAGCTCGACACTGGCTTTTCGTGGGACGGGCCCATATCGGTCAGGAACCATGTCCAAAAAGGGAGACGGCGTTCATATTCAGGTGCGATTCGCAAGTTCTCTTACTACTTTGTTTTTATTGTTCTGACTGGTGTCTTTTAATTTTTGAATAACCTTGTTCAACGTGTTTTCTGTGCATTAATCTTCGTTCCTTTAATCTCCACCGGAACTGATTATGCCCGCTATTGCCGGTTTCGACTCCATACTTCTCATCCACAGATGGACACAATCACGGCTCTTGCGGATGCTGAGCTTGGTGATCGGTCTTTCCTAGAGTATGATGCAAGTGGCAAGGTTATTGGCGAGAACTACACGCTTGACCCAACAAACCAAGAAATCAGTGATGAGTTCAAGCGTCCACCGTATTAAACGATTCCGTATATACCCTGGGCGTTACCCATTTCATCGCTGAAGCTGCTTAGACGATTCTTGCCCCGACGAGTGCCACGTACGCTGGACAGGCGTGTCATTTTGACTTTGACATCGTATCCTCATTGTTCCGTCACGCCTTCTTCCCTGCTCTTCACTTCATTATACCCGAACACATTTTCCGAGCCGCGTTGTCCGAAAAGTCCCTTCCATGGTTCTCCAATCGATCCACTAAGGGATCATCTCGTTCCTTCTATATCGTTGCATCAAAGAATCCGAATTATCTGGAGCTGTCACTACTCTTCTTCTGCCCGAGACACAGCTTCTCCGTCTGCTTTATTTCCCTGCTTGTCCGTGCTTGCCCAAAGCCAGCTTTGGTCATCATGTTGTCCGCCTATGCTGTTTGTAGATTCGTTCAACCATACAACCATAAAAAGACTTTTGATATAAAGTCGATGTACTAGTATTCCCCTTATATTGTCGTTTGTATTGCGGATTTCCTGTTCCTGTTCCTCATTTTTCCTTGCATGTCTCGGTGTCTTCTGTGCTGATGAATGTCATGGCAAACGCCTTACACGTTGCATTATTCTCTGATGATGTTCTATGCTTGAGGACGCCATGTGGGTGCAATTGAACGATGTCATGGAAGAGGGAAGCTTCCTTGCCTGTTCTGACCATGATGGTCCGTTGATGGAGGCTTGCGTCATGTGTAAATGTATTATTGTATAGGAGCATGCAGTCGTGTCAAGCTGTCAGGTTTATTCTATGTTGACTTTGTCAATTTCAACAAACATTTCTGATGCTAGTTGAGCTTCGGTTAGAGCCGAGTACATCATGGGAATGGGAATTTGGAATATGGGAGGAATTTTGTATTTCTTTATGGGTGTTGAGGAGGAATTACACTGGGGTGATGTGATGTAAGCGCTTACTAAGCGCTTAATGAGGAATTGTGGTGAATTTCATTGGTCTGGGAGGAATGAGTACCCTCCAAGTCACGATCAGTAAAGTCGTCTCGTCGTCTGCTTCCCCTTTTCCCCTATCACCTAACTAATGCTCTCACCGTCTCTTTATCCTTCCCCTCGCCTTACTGATCGTCACTCCGCTACTTTATTTTCTTCTTCTGGCTCGGTGGCTCCGTTGAGGTCTGATACTATTCTCTGCCTTGCTGGTTGTTCCACTGCCTGGTTTTCAGAGTGGGGTAGTCTGGTTGAACGTATGTACAAGAACGGACACAGACACGCCACAGAAGGAGGCAGGTCTGATACTGTATGCTGAGATGCAGAGTTGATACTACGGATTGTTGAGGAGTAGAAGAAAGGTGCTGCTTTGCCTGAAAGGAAGAAGATTGTCTTCGGTATTGTCAAGTTTAAACACCCCAGTCAGAGGTGTCTCTTCGAAGAACGAAAATACCAGCAATAACGTCAAGCCTGTCACTTCAGTTGCCTTGCATGCAACGAATATTAAGTGGACACTGAGGAGATTCATTGTCTATTGGAGGAACTGGGGCGCAAGAACGAGAAGCTTCAGAACCACAGGGCAAGCCTTCGACAGCAGCTTGATATCTATCAGAGTCTATAGGTAGGTAGCATATTGAAGATCACATGTGCAGAATAAATACAGTTGGAGTGGTCACTGTAAGCATTGTATTATTTTACATTTAAAGAAATCCTTAGTTCTATTCCTACCTCTTGATTCGAGAATCTGACGACACCGATTTAGGTGATTTGCCTGATTTTAACGCAGATTTGAAGACGTCAAAGGCACATCTGTCCAGTGCTTCTAACCAAAATGGAATACAGAACCGAGAAGAGGAAGCTGGACGAAGTAGATGGCAAGTGATCCGGTCAAACGTTCGCGCTACTCAATCTTCGGATTTATTCGTATAGGTTCGCATTTCTCTCTAACTCAGCATTGATGAATTCTTGACCTGATACACAAAAAGACAGACAATTCTTGCTTTCTACATCCGCTTGTTCCCACAATTTATACTAGAAGTCTGTCTGCACCACACGGATCAGACATGCAGGACAGTTAAGACCATAGCTGCGTGCTTCAGCAGCAACCTTTCTGACAACACCCGTTGGCCTGCTTCTTGTTATTGTCTTCAGCGACGGGAACAACTTCGACTGCCTGGCTGACGGCTTTGACGTTGCAGCAGGAATCTTGATCCGTTGACGTCACGACGCCCTTGTTAGCACAGCAGGTGTCCATCGCGTCTTCGTCATTATCGTTCCCGATTTGGTAAAGTTCCTTGGTGTTCTATTTATAAATTACATCAGGGGCGATATTGGAAGAAGTCGGATTCGGAGACGACAAGACAGAATGGAGGACATCGACATACCTGTTTCGTTTGAGGCCGCGGACCCTGCACAAGCTCGCGAGTGCAACACGCGCCTCCGTTCGGATTTATCGGCACACAGCACGGCGTCTGTTTATGTTCTGGTTAGACAGGGAGAATGGACAACGCATCGAACGACATGGACGTACCGAGTCTTCCGAGCTCGTTGAGCATTTGCACGTGTCTGCGTCCCGGCATTCTTCCTTTTCGTAGCAGCATTCGCATAGGTCGCGGTACTGCTCCGCTAGCTCCGCGTCTTTCTCGATTTTCGGCCCGTTGTGAGCGCATCCGCCACAGCACCCGCCGTTGAACTCCGGGTTGCTCACCCATGAGAGCATCTTCCATGCCTCGCGAGCAAATAGTATACCAAGGATGAGTGATGTCGCGTCGTCGACCCACCAGCCACCATGCCAAAGTCTGAATATAAGTGAGCCGATGAAGAGGACAATGGTGATTTGGATGCAGGAAAGCGAGCATGTCGCTTCACCGGCCATGGTGCTACTGTTGAGGCGGACGGCGAGTGTGCGCTTGGGGAGCCAGATGATGACCATTATGACGAGCGCGCTTGCGGAGACGATGAGCGATGCGTTCGACGTGTCGGGTTCGGTGTGTTGGGCGAGGCCGACTATGGCTGTGATCTCGGTTGCGAGAGCGAGGACGGCGATGAGGATACCGATACCCCATGTCCCGACTTTCTCGACACTGTTGGGAAAGACCATACAGGTTTCCCATCAATCAAGTCAAGTCAACTACTTTGAAAAGAAACATCAGAGAAAGTGGTTACTCTCGTACCGTAGATTGGCAGCCGACAACTCGACCGTATCCTCCTCACCAGGCTTCGCGACGCGCCGAAAACGCCAGAGGACGATGGCTGCAGAGGCGACCTCGATGCCCGACTGGATCCCGAAGAAGATAAGAGAGCGGGAAGAGCTCTCTGAGCCAAGGGCGATAGAGACTGCTCCCTCTGCTGCACAATAGATGATACTGATGATGCTTATGGCGATGGCATACTGTTGGAGACGCTGGTACGTCGTCGGCATGACTGGCTGGCTGATTTAGCTATGTGGAAGCGTAGACGTGTTTGTTGCTTGCGACTTGTGTCGGACGACTCGGATTACCTTCTTCCTGAGAAGAAGGCGTGGGGCTGACTAGTTACGGGTATTTGTTGTACATATATGTAATTCCGTATGTAATTCCGAAGGCATGCACCATGGGACTTTTGCCTTGCTCTGCTCTGCAAAATGTGGCGAATTAAAATGTTCCCACAATTTAGTATTTACGTATTCTTTGAGCGTTTAATGAGGATTAGTCAGCCGCTGGATGTCAAGACTCAACTAGTCTGTCTGTCTGTCTCTTCTAGCCCAGGCCTTACACATTTACCGGTCTATACACTACATTCATTATAGGCGCTAAACGATGAAGACAAAGGTGATTGTAACAGGCGCCTCAGGCATACTCGGTTCGGTGGTGTACAACGCCTTTAAACGCGATTCGGCGTTTTATGTTTTGGGACTGGCACATTCGAGATCGAATAATGAGTTGGTGAAGTTGGACTTGAAGGATGAGGCGAGTGTGGAGAGGACGTTTGCTGAGTTTGAACCTGGTTGTGAGTGGCTTACATTCGTACCTTGTGTCCTCTTTGTGTACGTTGCGGTGATGGGATAATGAAATACTGATGAGGATGTATGCGTTGTTGTGTTGTAGGGGTTATACACTGTGCGGCGGAGAGAAGGCCGGACGTCGCGGAGAAGGTACGTCTCTTTCTTTGGGATTGTTTGTTTTCCTAGATGCATATAGGCGGTATTCCAGTGCTAATTTACTCACTCACCGGATTCTTGTGTAATATTAATCATGGGTCCTTAGAATCCTGAAGAGACACAAAAGGTGTGTAGTGCCAGTGTTGATTTTGAAGTTTCTTTAATCTTGTGCCCGTCTTCCATTTCTTTCCATCAAACGCGTGTTATTTTCATGTTCCCATCCTCCTATGTTTTCTTGATCTTCGTTTGTTTTGAAAGATTTTGTGAAGAAGGAAGCTGACCTCGCGGTTTTCATTATTCTTTTCTGATAACCAAATCCCCGACGTACGCAACCCAAATCCGGATCCTGCTGGACAAAATCAAAACTACCTGCACACTTGCATGTCATATTGTAGCTCAATGCCTCCGTACCTGACTACCTCGCCACCCTCGCTCATCCAAATAAACTAAACTTCAAACTCGTGTACATCTCGACGGACTACGTATTCGACGGGACTTCTCCGCCTTACGCACCCTCTGCGCAACCGAATCCGGTGAATTTGTATGGTAGGACGAAGAGAGATGGGGAGAGTGCTGTGTTGAGGGGTGTGGGCGAGGGGTGTGAGGGTGTTGTTTTGAGGGTACCTGTTTTGTGAGTTGTTTCATGATCATTTCTTATTTTGATTTTCGTTTTCTTGGTTTGGTTTTGGTTTGCACTGTGAGGGATTGAGGGAGGGACGGAGTGATACTGATTGAGAAATGTTGATGATGATGTAGGTATGGACCTGCACCGAAGAACTCGGACACAGCGATCAATATCTTGCTTGATGTCGTCCAAGACCAGTCGGGAAAACAGTATAAGATGGATCATTATGCAACGCGGTACCCGACGAACGTACTTGACATTGCTAACTTTCTTACCCGTCTAACCGGTAAGCCAGTGACACTTCCGAACCTACATCTCTCCACCAATTGATCTACGATTTATTTGTTTTTCTTTGCTTATTATAATCATCATCATATCCAGGTCTCCACAAACCCCTCCCACCAATCCTACACTTCTCCGCCCCCGAACCCTTCACAAAATACGAAATCTGCCTCATCTTCTCTAAGATCCTCTCCCTCCCACACGGACACATCATACCCGACGCCGAAGCACCGACAGGCGCAGCAGCTGCGAGTCGGCCACGCGATTGTCGATTGGATACGACGGAGACGGAGGCGCTCTTAGGTAAGCCTGGGAGCTTGCAGTGTGTTATTTTTGAGGAGTGGTGGAGGGAGTATCTTGGGAGGCCTGAGGGTGAGGAGAGTGAGGGGACGAGTAAGGGTGAGGCACCGAAGGCCTGACGAATAAATGTTATGGAAGAAAAAACCGACGGTAACGGTACTGTGAGAGAAGTAAGAGAAAATATGTATGTATTGAATGTGTATTGATACAAAGATGCTTTTGAAGGACTATTGACACATAGTATGCAATGAAGTGTAAGTTTGAACTATGTAATAAAAGAAAGCGGAAACGAGAGAGAATCCTGGAAAGCTGCTTTTAAACTTGCTTGCGCATGATGTTTTCCAGTGCTACAAATGCTTCGTCTCGAGATAAGGGAAGATGAGATGCAGCTGCTCCGGCACTACTGCTTATACTGGCATCGCTGTTGGACATGGTGGCATGCACGATTAATCGCGCTATGACTTCTCCCAATTCAACAAGACAAGCAACGACGATCAACCTACGCATGATTCAACATTCAGCAAACCATGGCGATGAAAAATCAGCACATAGAAAATCACATACCAGATAATAATCCACGTTATCCTCTCCATCGCGTTCCCATTCAAATGATTATGTATCAAATCAAGTAAATCACTAGCCACAGCCAACTTCTCATTCAAGACAGTCACTCTCTGTCCAATTTCCATATACTCTCTCACTGCATCGTATAGGTCCTTCAGGCTTGCCTCGCTCCAGAATAATTCGGGTACGTCGAGTACGTTGGAGACGAGGTTGACGTCCCGTCGGAGAGCGAAGAGACGTCCAGTGAGTCGAAGGGCGTCTCGGCGCCTGAGACGGAGCTCGCCTGTTTTGGCGAGGGTGCGTGGAATGAACAATGTACGTGGATCGGAGAGGACGAGGGATGTTTTGGATTCGTATCGTGCGAGGAGGGTAGATTGTGCGAGTGCATGTGCGATGGAGAGTTTTAGGAGATGAGAATGAGACTTGAAAGCTAGAAATATGTAGCTTAGTAGAGGAGTACGATAGAAAATAGATGAGAGGACGTACTGAAAAGGTCGTTGTATATCCGTGGATATGCAGCGAAGGGGTCGTACTAAAATAGATAAATATCTTGTAATAAATCTGGTCCCAATGAGGACATACCGCGAAATGACACTCCTCAATTTCCCAGTCGTCTTCCCCAATCTTTCGCGTCAAGACAGCAGCATGGTCGATGTCATCGATGATTGCTCTCTCCTGGCTCTCCTCAAGGCCGTAAAATACGACGACGCCATACGCAAAGAACACGACCTCTGCAACGTTCTCTTCCTCCATCTTTCTCGTCCGGGGGCGTGTTTTGCCGCTCATTGGCTGGTAGGGCTGTTGTCGCGCGTCTTCTGGGGAGCTTGACGGGATGAACCCTTCAGAGTCGAAGCCATCGGTCGTAGGTTGGGGAGAGAAGTACGTCCCTTCGTAACCGTTTTCCTCTGCTTCGGAGAGCGCAGCTAAGAAATCACTTCCGCCGGGTACCTTGGCTGGTGCAGATGATGATCGCACGTTGACGTTCGGGTCATAGCCCGACAGAAGAGGCAAGTGGTACATCTAAAAATAAATAATAAATAAGTTACTCAGCTGGGTCGCTCTTCACAAGAAATGATTCGTCAAATTGGACTCACGACGTATAAGGCCTCGTCAAACACGCGCGGGTGCACATTATGTTCCCGTTTTAGAAACGCAGCAAGGAGCTTCATACGAAACGACTCAGCGACGCAGTACGCTGTAAGCCGTTTGTATCCGGCACGATTCCTCTCCGTCTTGCTCATCCGTTCGCCTTCACTCTTCAGGTCTGAACGACCCTTCCGCGTGATCAGTGTTGTACTCTCGACATCTTCAAGCTCTCCGGGTAAAGGCTTTGTTTGAGGTTCGGAAGGGAGAACAACGAGCTTTGTGGATGTTTTGGACGTTCGTTGGGCTTTGGCACCTCCGCCATCGGTTTGTACATTGGCGCTAACTGCGCCTGTACCAATTGAAGGGCGTCGTCCAGACGATTCTGGGATTGTAGAGAGAGCAGGACGACCTGAGCGAGAAAGCAGCCCTGCGGATGCTTTTCTGTTTATCGACGGCCGCGACATTCTTGTGCTGGTATCAGGTCAAGGCCTGAGAGCCGTACGTAGAGAAAGTGAAAGCTGACGTCATACAGATTTTTCCTTTTTGGAACATTAAAATTACGCATATACCCAGACATTATCGTAACTGTTCAATATCTCATGGGATACGTTGACTGCCGTACGACTTCTTTGTCGTCAAGCCTTTAATTGCAATTCTTTGTTATTCAAATGCACAAATTGCCTATGTCCATTGTCCATTCGCAGATTAACTGGCTTACACCCGATTATCTTTGTGAACTGCCACTTTCCGATAATGTATCTCGAGCCACTCCATTTGCCTCCTTTCTCTCTCTCGATAGCACTCATGTCGAGCGGTGGTAAATGTGCATTTTATTCTGCCTATTAAGAAGACTAACGGCAGTTACGGAATTCCGAAATCGGTTCCTCTTGAGACCGATCATCAACTGCCCTTTGAACGTAACAGGTCTCAAGCTCCGCTGATATTAACGCTTCCATTCTTACCGCCGCATCGAGAAGATGGATCCGTAGGAGAATTGAGAGAAAGACCATGCGCGCACAGTCCAGTTAAAGACTGAAACTGAGAAGTAGTAAAATGGAGTAAGGCGCATTACATGATTGATATGGGCTATTACTATGAGTCATCCACTCCGATGTAATGCTCTTGTAGATACAAAATTAGAAGATAAGTTGCATGGTACAGTTGATATTCTGCTACATCTTTAGGGACCTATAAAGACACGGGGTGGCGCAGTGGCACGTTGTTCAACGAGTCAGATTTAGACAAGATCAATTCGCATTATTAGCATTCTCCCAACTAGCCTGTAGAAGCTGATATTGGGGCTCCAATATCAAGGGGAAATCAAATATCCAGTACAGTACTTCTTCATAGCAGAAAGATCCATGCTGCTTGCCTTCAAACAAGGACACAGCAACTGATAGCTCATGATGGTCAAGGACGTTGAGCATTTGATGTCTCTTCTTTGATCGGTACTAGGAATTCCAAGGACGGCCATCATGTTTCCTATCAAACTTCTTCATTACATAAAGCAGAGCGATGCAAGCCTTGACTAAATATAATAACATTACTAGTTTCCCTTGGCTGGATGGTTCCTCTCATATCCATTCTAGCTGTTATCTATCTATAGGTCACTCCGATGGAGTCCGTATGTTATGAACTACATCATCACAATGCAGCAATATTCGAAGCAGTGACGAAACCCGTAAGCCTCCGGTCACCGGAGAGATGAGCCATCAAACGAAGACAAAAACAAATACTGAAACTGATGATTCATTGATTATCATTGTGACAACAGTGTATATAAGACGCAGCCGGGACCACATGAGGACGAGGCCCATCTACTCTCCGGAGAGGCGAACAATGAGCTCTGGTGCTTCACCCGGCCTAGTTATCGCAACAAAATACCTCACATGTAAGTTATCGTTGAAATAATAAGTCACACATCCTTACGGCTCATAACAACAGTATCCTCCATTGCAATAATTGCCTATGACGCAATTTTGTCATTTGAAATCGAGCGCATTACATTATGGAGGTCGAGAACATCAGCACTAAAGGTTGCATATGTCTTGTATCGATATCTTGTGATGGCTGTATCACTTCTCTCCTTCAGTCAGTTTTTTTTTAATATTCTCTACTTATACCTTATATTGACAGAGAAACAGTATCTATTACAGCAGGTATATTTAATGAAGCAAGGGTATGTATTTGATTCATTAAATCTATATAGTACATAGATAGTAGCTTACCTATACTGGTCCAGTGTGTTTCGAAAAAAACTCGCATTATTCAGGCACTTATTCCTCGAAGATGTCAGAGGATTGTCAAGATTATCAGTATTGTCATGTTTTCTGCTGATGCTATCGGCCACGGTGAGCAGTTGTTTACCATTTCATAATCTGCAACATTCTCAAACATTCTCAAGCCCTAGTAATTTTCCGAACTTTCATGCTTTGGGGTCGTAGGACAACTGTTCTTCGGCTTATGTTCATCGGATCCTTCATTGCAAACAGCATTGCACTTTCTTTTCTAGTACTGACTGTCAGAGACTTCTCAAGTAAGTAATCCTCTAAGACTATCCTTACCAAGCCGAGGTTAAACTTGGCTGTGGACATGTAGAGAATCAAGTCCTAGCTCCAGCCCCAACCATGCACACTTGTGCTGCAATTGTGAATCCCAGATTTCTACTTGGTATCTGGCTACCACAAGTGAGTTAGCTGTGTATATTACAATTGCAGTCCACTTTTGTTCCATCTCACAATGCAAACCGTTTAAAATCAAAGGTGGTATTTGACATTTATGTTACCATACTTGTCTTGTTAAACGCCATGGACCAACCTCGACTTTCCAATAAGGAACTTATGGAAATTGCAATTAAGGATGGCTTATTTTTGATTCTTGTGAGTTTCCATTTGTATCTAGTGCTGTGAAGGTATTCTGAAGACTTTTCTAAAGGTAACATGGGGTGAGAATATTGCATGTCAGGAATGGGATTGCTTCTTACTAATCCCTTCAACATGAGCAGTACTTCGAATGGTAAATGCTATGTTATGCACAACCGACAATGTAAGAAGAGTGTTTGGAGCAGCTTTCATTGGCACTATTTCCTCATTGTCTTTCTATTTATGATACAGGAACTGCTGCCATTCATCAGCATATCTTTCGTCGAGGCACTGATCACAGTGATTAACTTACGGCTCTTATTGCACATATTCCAGTCAGAAGACATGAATAGGATTGGCCAGCGCGACAGTAGTATGGAACTCGCTTTGCTCCTCAAGCGTGGTAGTTGCAGGAAGGAAGGAATGGGCCACGCCTGACATTTCATGGCTTTCATCACGACATAAAATGTATTTGTTTTGCTTTGTTGAACTCACCTTGTAGAATACAACGCGATCTTCATTCCTACTACCACTGTTCCTCAGGGTAGGTTTTTAAGTTTTGTACACCATTGAAATATACATCAGTGCTATTCCCACCTTCCGCAACGCGGTAGTAGAAAAACTGAGTGCATACTAGTACAAGCACTAAAACGTCCAAATGAGACGAACAGCGGACAGCGGCGAAGAAACGAGGTTATGCAGACATTATTGTCGTCTGCATTATCTTTACATTTCTGAATACAGGAGTCAAAAGGGGAGAGCACTTTTACTATACTATCAATATGATCTGGAGCCCGAAGATATTCACGTTATGTACCTAAATCCACTCCATTCATCTCCTTTGTCTCTCTTCGCCGCTTCAACACTATCGTAGTGGCCATTCTGTATATCGCCATTACTGTTCTCAGAGTCCCCAATGAGTTCATCGCGTTCTCCACGGTCACGACGCTCGGTTTCTCTGCGCAATAAAACGTGGAGGACTATCGAAATAATGAGCCCGACTATGGTACAAGCCACGGAAAAAGAGTTCCCGATAATATATCGAGGGGCGTCCTGCTCGCGAAACTACATGTTTTGAGGCTTAACCAGACTATTCTACAGAGTTCGCAAGTAGTGAAGAACTGACCAAGTTCACGGAAATAACTCTCACTGCATTTCCTCTTGGAATCATTATTAACTAAGCATATGCCCAATGCAAATAGGTTAAGATGCGTACATTGATATTGTGATTGCAATAGCAATACTGCGCTTGTATGAGTTTTGGAAATTATTTGCTGACCATGCTCTACATTTGGCAGAGGTCAATAACGTCTCGACTTTGCACGTTTCTGCGAAGTCACTTACATTACGTTTGCTGGATCAGACCAATTCAATGATGTGTACTGTATTTAATAAGCGTGTGCCTACCGACTGCAGGGTACGCGGAGCTGTTTTAAATCTCGTTAGTGCTTGTGACATATAACGAAGGTGTATTAGGCGCTCGCACAACGCAATTACGTATGTTGCAAAGTATGAAAGGGCTGCATTTCTGGAAAGCATTTGAATAAGACAGCCTGTAAGCGCTGTGGATGTCGTATAGGAATCAGAATCCTGTACTATGAAGCCGAAGAGTCTTGATTTTACCAAAGATAAACAGCCCTCTAGCCGAAACACGCATAAATAGATAGTCCCTGATGAAGATTAAGAATTCTCACATGGAGAAATGGCCACGCTTTCTAAAGCGGTCGGCCATGTAGTTAATGAGACACGAGACTGCAGCAGCTACAAGGTGCACAGGCACAGTGAGCAGATTTGCTATATTCGACGTGTATCCTTGAAGTAGAGGTTAGACAACGCAAACACTTAAAACCATAGGTTTTCACCTAACTGCGAAACAATGGTTGGAAGGAAGAAAGTTATGTTAAAATGTGCAGCAGCTATACCTGCGAAGAAAAGAAAAGCAGCTTTTGGGAAACACTTTTATCGAAATCATAGAAAGAAGCGTACCACCATGAATGAGTACCAAAATCCACGTCTTGTAGTCGGTGAAAGCTCTTCGAACATCACGCTATCTCTGTTGTTCGGCGGAGACGGAGAATTGATCACCTGTCTGTAGACGGTGAGCGATGTAAACGCGCTCTTGTTTGGAAAGGAAGCGAGCAGTAGAGGGATAGTCTTGGATGATAATGAACGATGCGATAGACGCGGCGACAGTGATAAGGCCCTCCAGAATGAATATCCAGGCCCTACATTGTACTTGCATATAGAGAAGTTCATGCGTTCAATAGTCAATCATGTTACCAAACAGGTTTCCCTGCGACGCCATCCATATTTGAAATCGCCGCCTGAAATATTTGAGCGGGGGGGACATATTACTCCGTGCTACCGGACTTACAGTGAAAAAGCCGTTGAATGCACCTGCAAAGGAAGTCCCGGTGTAGAACATCGCGAAACGAAGTCCGAGTTCTTCGCGTCTATACCAACTTTGAATCGACGTTTGCCGATCGTCAGTACGTCGTGATTATGAACAATACGATACCGTACCAGGACATATAGAATGCGACTCCAGGATAGAAACCAGCTTCAAATATGCCGAGGAAGATTCGAGTTGCTATAATCATGTCGAAACGGATAAGGCATTTATTGAGCATCGAATAAACCGAACCTAGCAAGCCCCCGTAGTCATGGACCAGTCCCTGCACTGTCTTCAATACATGTTCAGGGATGATTGTTGGTAGTGGTAGGTTAAAGCGAGGTTACCGACCATGGTAATGCCCCATAGAAGCATTATTCCCGGTAGCCAAATCGAAGGTCTCACAAGCTTTAGACACATATTTGCGGGTACCTATTGTGCCAAATGCATGTCAATACGGCCTCATAAGCTCGCGGGAAACTGGAGGAAGAAAGACGAAGAATCATCTCACAAAGGACATAAGGGATGTAGAATAACGACAGGCAAATCAAATACTGAACATCCGATAGATGAAGGTCTGCTTCCAAATTGTATAGCTGATGTTGCCTTATTATAACCCTCTGATTCGACTATCAACATGGTGATACGCACACGTGCATTTCCCATATTTGACCTGTCCAGAAAGCAGAGCATGAGCAGAATAGCAAGCCAAGGGATTATAGTGAAATCGATGCGACGTAAAAGTCGCTTCTCGCCGATGGTGTCGCTTGATCCGTCGGTGTCGAGTCCACGTGGCCTCGCCGTCTCGATGCTGCTGGACATTAAGTGAGTTTCTCCAGGTTCTATGTCGACACACCGTTTCTGCGCATCGCAGTCGGAGGCAGCTGATTTCATGACAGGCAGTTTCTCGTCTTTCATCCTATGGCTCAAAGGAAGCTTCAATCGCCGAGAGTAGGTCATCTTTATATGAATGGCACCCACATTCAAGTGAAGACTCCGTGCAGCGGCCGATCCAATATGTAGTTCTGAGTATATTGCGGCTCATGACACTTCACAGGCATATTTGCGAACAGACGGAGAGGTGCACTAGGTTTCATTAAGTCCACGCATAAATCGACCCAGACAGGACACGTTCCTTTGAGTAATAGAGGATAAGTCATCGGATGGGCACGGATCTTCCGAAGGCTCACAAGGATACCTGCAAGATTATTATACTGCCAGTCCTTGATATATGGCGATTGAAATTCCCGCCTTGCGTAGAAAATACTTAGTCAGACATACATCGGAGGAACTTGAGCAAACTATTTCTTAGATGGCGTCTTCTCACGAAGCGGAGCAGATAGCCCAGTATATCAGAAATAAGCGGCCACTTGTGTATACGGACTGTATACAGTCGTCTCAGGACTGCCAAGGAAGAAACAACGTCAATAGGACGAACAAGCGAAGGATACTGCCAAGCAGTTTGCAGTTCATCGGAGTTGCTTCTGAGAAGTAGTGCCGGGACATTGAAGCAATATAGCTGCTTGCACGTTGTTCACTAGCAGCCTGCGTAGTTTGAATTTGAGGATGAACGCTGAATGAGCCCGAATGTTTACTTTTGTGCAGTGTCTTTCGATCACGTGATCGATCGGATAACACTTGATGAATTGGCAGAGCAGATAAGAACCACAGTTATATGGTACCTAATTTTATATTCCGTCTCTCGGAGCCATGTGCTTGCTTGGTATGAAGTGCGCTGAAATTTGAGTCCTAATGGTTAAAGGACTAATATCTATCAAACAAGGATGCTGATTACGAAAGGCTTTTTTTGCTGTTTGAATCTCAGCGGTCAGCTGCAAGGAATGAAACCGCGTAGATGTTATCATCAGAGACACTGAATTTACAGTTCTGACTCTACTTTAGGATTCAAAGGGGACAGCACGTCTACTACACTATCGATAAGGACTGACATCCAGAGACTTTTACGTTATGTACCTAAATCCACTCCATTCATCTCCTTTGTCTCTCTTCGCCGCTTCAACGCTTTCGTAGCGACCATTCCGTATGTCGCCATAACAGCTCTCGGAGTCGCCGATGACTTCATCGCGTTCTCCACGGTCACGACACTCATTTTCTCTGCGTAATAACATGTGGAGTACTATTGAACTGATAAACCCAACTACTGTTGCAGCGACAGAGAAAGAGTTTCCGATTATATATCGAGGGGCGTCCTGCTCGCGAAACTGCATGTTTCGAGGGTCATTAGTCCAGACTGTTTTGCGCAGTGTGCATGTGGTGAAGTACTGACCAAACTCATGGAAATAGCTCCCACGATATTTGCTCTTGGAATCATTTTAGCCGAGCAAATCTTCTATTCATATAGATAGAAATACGCACACTGATGTTACGATTGCAATAACAATACTGCGCTTGTACGAGTTCTCCGCGTTGTTTGAGGCCCATGCTCTAAATTATATCAGAGGTCAGCAACAACTAGGCTTTGCGACGTTCTGCGAAATCGCTAACACTATGTTCGCTGGATCAGATCAATCAATAATGAGAAGTATGCTAGTTTAAGTGTGCTTAGTACTCACGCACTGCAGGATACGCAGATCTGGTATAGAACATGGTCAGAACTACAGTGGAAATAACTAGGTAGAAGGTACTCATACAATGCAATCATGTATGTTGCGAAATACGAAAGAGCTGCATTCCTAGAAAGCATCTGGATGAGACAACCTATGAATGCTGTAGGTATTGCATAAGATTCGAGGTCCTGCACTATGAAACCAGAGAGTCATTTTGTTCACCAAAGATAAACAACCCTCTGGTCATAAACATACGTAAATGAAGAAGTCCCTAGGAAAATAAGAACTTCTCACATGGAAAAGTAGCCACGCATTCGAAGGCGATCCACAGAAGAGTTGACGAGGCATGAGACTAGTGCAGCCACAAGGTGCACAGGTACAGTGAGTAGATTGGCTTTGTTCGCCGAGAAGCCTCCACTCGAGAATCAGACAACGCGGAAGTCCGAAATCGATGGGTCTCACCTAAGTGCGAAATAATGGTAGGAAGGAAAAACGATATAGAGTAGTGTGCGGCAGCTGCGCCTACAGGGAAAATAAGCCAGCCTTTGAGAATATCTTTGCTAAGAACATAGAAAGCAGCATACCGCCAATGGCAAGCGACGTCTTCCAATCTGTGAAGGCACTCCGAACATCACGCCATCTCTGCTGTTCATTGGACACGGAAACTTTATCATCTGTCCCCAGACGACGAACAACATAGACACGTTCCTGCTCGGAGAGGAAGCGGGCACGTGGTGGATAATCTTGGATGATGAAGAACGAAGCGGAGGCTACAATAATAGTGAAAAGACCCTCCAAAATGAATATCCAGGCCCTGCATCGGACATGCATAAAGAGTAGTTCATGTGTATACTTGTCGATCATCTCACCAAACTGGCTTGCCTCCGACGCCGTCCATATTCGAAATTGCCGCCTAGTATTTGTAAATGAGAGACATACAACTCCATGGCATCAGGCTTACAGCTAGGAAGCCACCAAATGCACCCGCCAACGAGCCGCCGGCGAAGAACATTGCGAAACGAAATCCGAATTCGTTACGTCTGTACCAACTTTCAACAGCATTTCCCATCATCAGTATTCCGTGTTGATGGGCCGAGTGATACCGTACCAAGACATATAAAATAAAACACCGGGATAGAAACCAGCCTCAAAGATGCCGAGAAAGATTCGAAGCGCTGCAAGTGCATCGAAATGATCAGCGTAAGTATAGGGTGTAGGAGAAAACGAACCTAGAATACCCCCGAAGTCATGGACAAGTCCTTGCGTCGTCTTCAAGACTTATTCAGAACGACTAACGATGGTAATCAGGCAAGAAGAGAGGTCACAGACCATGACTATGCCCCATAAAAGCATTATTACCGGTAGCCAGATTGATGGTCTTATACGCTTTAGACACGTATTTGCAGGCACCTGTAGTGCTATGTCGGTGCAACCTCCTCAGCTTAAAGAGTAAGAAAAACAGAAACTCACCTCACAGAGAACGTATGGGATATAGAACAACGTAAGAGACATCAGATACTCAGCATCGGACAAGTGGAGGTCTGCTTCCAAATTGTATAGCTGACGTTGCCTTGTTATAATCCTCGGTTTCAACTATCAAGATGGAGATACGCACACGTGCATTTCCGATATTTGACCTGTCCAGAAAGCAGAGCATGTATAGAATGACCAGCCAAGGGATTAAGGTGAAGTCGATACGACGTAGAAGTTGCTTCTCGTTGATGGTGTTGCTCGATCCGTCGGTGTCCGACCCCGGCCGGCTTGTGTTCTCGATACCGTCAGACACAAGATGCGGATGTATAGACTGTACATCGACACGCGCTTTCTCTGCGTCGCAGTCTAAGGCAGCTGGCTTCTCAACAGACTGCTCCTCGTCATGCATCTTGCAGGTCATAGGGAATCCAAAACACCGAAAATAAGCTAGGTTTATATGAGCGACATTCCCATTCAAGTGAGGAAGCTTTGCTGCGCGGGCATAAGCCTGTAGTTCTGGGCATATTGTGGCTCATGACGCTCCCCAAGCATATTTGCGAGTCATCGGAGGAAGTATACTAGCTTCAATATGTCCACGTTTAGATTATTCTGGACCGGACATAGTATGTCTGAACTACAAAGGGAGGTCATCGGATGGGCGGAGATCTTTCGAAAGCCCTCTAGAATATCCGCGAGATTATTACACTATCAATCCCTCAGACGAACCGATTAAAATAGCGGCACTGCATAGCAAATGTTTAGTAAAGTATTCATCTGAACAACTGGGAGCAGCTCTTCTCCAGAGGGGCAACTTCTTACCAAGGCGACGCAGGTGGCTTTGTATATCAGAAGCAAGTAGCTGCTTGCGTACTACACCGAAGCGGAGAGACTAGGCAGCATTGTCAGAAAGGAACAACTTCATTAAGACGGATAAACAAGGAATGTTGCCCAGCAACTTGCGATCCATCGCATAAGGTTCCAAGAAATAGTATCAGGACATTCGAAGCTGGACAACCACTTGCCCGTTGGTAACTGGTATAGTCAAAGATGCTTGGGCCTGAGGAGCATCGCCCATTTGCTAAGTATCCACGATCACGTGGTCGACGGATGAGGCTTTTAGAGCGAGCAAATAAAGAGCGAGCAAATAAGAAGCCACGATTATATAGCGCCTATTTTTGTGTTCCGACTCCCGGAGCCCATGTGCTTGCTTGGTCCGAGGTCCGCTGGAAGAGAGACCACGATGGTTAAAGGACAATTGTCTTATTTTTATTTTTATTTTTTGAAACTTATCGATTGGCTGCAAAGAAAATGGAACCGTGCAGTTGTTATCATCTCTATATGACTTCGCTTTCCTGATTCTGCTTCAAGAGTCGAAGGGAATATCAATTCTAATACACTATCGACCGGTACCGATGTTCAAAGACTGTCACGTCATATATCTAAATCCGCTCCATTCATCTCCTTTATCTCTCTTCGCCGCTTCGACGCTGTCGTACCGACCATTCCGTATATCACCATAACCGTCTACAGCGTCTCCAATGACTTCATCGCGTTCTCCACGATCACGACGTCCATTTTCTCCGCGCAATAAAACGTGGAGAGATATCGAACTGACGAGACCAACTACAGTAGCAGCCACGGAAAAAGAGTTTCCGAGGGTGTACCGAGGAGCGTCCTGCTCGCGAAACTACATATTTTACATTATCAACTCGATCGTAACTGTGCGTGTCGCAAAGCACTGACCAAGTTGATGGAAATAACTCCCACTAAATTTGATCTTCAAATCGTGATTAGCTGAGTATGTCTGATACAAGTCGGCAGGAACACGTACATCGATACTATGATTGCAACGGAAATACTGCGCTTGTACGAGTTATGGATATTGTTTGATGACCATGCTCTATATTTGAAATAGGTCAGTAAAGACCTGACTCCACATGATTCTGCAAGTTTCTAACACTATGTTCGCTGAACCGGATCAAGTCAATGACATGGCATATGTTTGATATGCACGTACTCACCAGTTGCAGGGTAAACAGAACTGTTTCAAAATCGTTGTCAGTGTCTGCAGAATATAACAAACACGTATTATATGCTCGTACAACGCAATCATGTATGTTGCAAAGTATGAGAGAGCCGCATTTCTGGACAGCATCTGCATAAGACAACCTATTAACGCTGCCGATATCGAGTAAGAGTCAAGGTCCTGCAGTATGAAGCCGGAGACTCGTACCAAAGACGAACAGCCCACTAGGCGAAAGACGCGTAAACTCTAGCTCTCGACGAAGATTAGAGGACCTCACATAGAAACAGGACCACGTATTCTGAAGCGGTCGGCAGAATAGTTAACGAGACACGAAACAGCAGCAGCTACAAGGTGCACAGGCACAGTGAGTAAATTTGCTTTATTTGCCGTGAAGCCTTGAAGCAAAGGTTAGACAACGCAAGCAGTCGTAACCATAGATTCGCACCTAACTGCGAAATAATTGTCGGAAGAAAGAAAGCAATATTATAGTTTGCAGCAGCTGCGCCTATGGCAGGAGCAAGTCAGCATTTGACAAACACTTTCACTAAAATCCTGAAAACCAGCGTACCACCATTGATGAGCCCTCCAAGCCACGTCTTCCAATCTGTAAAAGCACTCCGAACATCATGCCATCTCAGCTGTTCTTCGGAGACGGAGAATTGATCACCTGCTTGTAGACGGTGAACAATGTAAACACGCTCCTGTTCGGAAAGGAAGCGAGCTGCAGAGGGGTAGTCTTGGATGATAATGAACGACGTAATAGACGCCATGACAGTGATAAGGCCTTCCAGAATGAATATCCAGGCCCTGAGTCGGACGATATAGATACTTTCATACGTTTAATTGTCGATCAACTCACCAGACAGGTTTCCCTCCGACGCCGTCCATATTTGAAATTGCCGCCTGAAATAGCTGAGCGATAGGACATATTACTCTATGGTACCAGACTTACAGCGAAAAAGCCATTGAATGCACCCGCAATGGAAGTCCCGGTGTAAAAAATCGCGAAACGAAGTCCGAATTCGTCACGTCTATACCAGCTTCCAAGAGCATTTATCACTATCAGTATCTTGTGATGACGGGCAGTATGATACCATACCAAGACATATAAAATGCAACACCAGGATAGAAACCAGCCTCGAAGATACCGAGGAAGATTCGGGTTGCTGTAAGCGCGTCGAAAAGGTCAAACCAAGGGTAAAGAGTATCAGAGAAAACGAACTTAGCAAACTCCCGTAGTCATGGACAAGACCCTGCATCGTCTTCAAGGCTTATTCAAGACGATGGCCGATGGGATTAGGCGGAAGCAAATTTACGGACCATGGTAATGCCCCATAGAAGCATTATTATCGGTAGCCAAATTGACGGTCTCGTGTGTTTAAGGCACATATTTGCAGGCACCTACGGCGTATGTCAGTACGACCTCCTCGGCTCGCGGGTCAACAAAGGAAGAGAAGCAGAGGCTCACCTCACAGAGAACGTATGGCACATAGAACAACGAAAGACAAATCAGATACTGGGCATCCGATATACGGAGGTCTGCCTCTAAACTGTAAAGCTGCGGTTTACCGCATTCTTAAACCTAAATGTTAATAATTAAATGGTTATACGCACGCGCGCATTTCCGATATTCGACCTGTCCAGAAAGCACAGCATGTACAGAATGGCCAGCCAAGGGATTATAGTGAGATCAATACGTCGTAGGAGTCGTTTCTCGTTGATAGTGTTGCTTGGCTCCTCAGTATCTGGAGCCTCTGAACTTGCTTTCTCGACGCAGCCGGACAACGGCTGCAATTTTCCGAACCCTATGTCGAAGCGCGCTTTCCCTGCATCGCAGTTTAAGGCTCCCGATTTCTTGATGGGTAGTTTGTCGTCTGTCATCCTGGAGGTAGGAAGGATTCCTCTTGCCGAGTGTAACCTGGCTTTAATATGAGTAGCATTTACGTCCAAGTGAATGTGCCGTGCCGCGCGGGCCTGAGTAGGCAGTACTGGGTATATTCGCGATCACCGGGGCAAGTGTACACGGCTTCTAAAAGTCCATATTTAGACTGAACAGAGTGTATTTGAATGATAAACGAGAGGTCATCGGATGGGCGTGGACCTTGCGGAAGTCCTCAAGAATACCCACAAGATTGTTATGCTACAAGTCCTGAGAGATAGGCTGATTGAAATAGCTGAACTGTGCGGGATATATGTTTAGTCAAGTATTCATGGAAGGAACTTGAGCCATTTCATCTTTTAGGCATCATCTTCTGGCCAAAGCAGAACAGATGACCTCTTCTATCGGAAATAAGTGGATATCTGCAATCCACAACTAGGCAGAAAGCTTAGGTATCTTGACAGAAAGGAACAGCTTCGACAGGACGAGAAAGCGAAGATTGTTGCTCAGCCGTCTACAATGCAGTGAAGCAGTCTCTATGAATAGTACCAGGGCATCCGAAGCAAGATAACTACTTGGCAATGTGCGGAGAAGTCGGAGCTGCGGATATATCACAACTTTGCCTACCTTCGTTAAGTGTCACTCCGACCACATGACCGGCCAGACAACTTTCAGCGGATTAGACGGAAGTAGAAACAGGAAAACAAGGTTATTTAGCACTTACTTCTATACGCCGACTTTCGGAGGCCCTGTACTTGTTTGGTTCAAGACCTACCGAAAACAGAGGGCCTAATGAATGGCTCCGTTTCCCTGATTCTATACATATAATAACAATGCAGGAAGAGCACGATGTTTAATGTCGGCTAGTAGATCGGTCCACATGCAGTCACGCGTTAGGTCAACCAGACGTATAAAAAAGTAGAGCATATTAAGTGGCAGTTGTTCAGAGAAATGACCACGTAAGAGATGTGCTGTAGGGCCAGGCAAATTCTTTAGTGATATGACAATTCAGGAGAACACTGGTAGCCTAAGTCGGGAAAGCACTTGCATCAGTAGTGTATTCCAGATGAATCGCAGTCGGCCGTGGAAAGTACTGAACAGCTGAGCAAACCGGCAGTTACTGCTGTTTCTTCGAGCTAAGAGACAAGCTAACACGCAAAGAACCTGTTCATCTCTGGTCATGCAAGGATTGAGGATACGTTTAAGGTGCTTGGCTCGTAACGTGGTTGCAATGACCATCAGCGGAGCTCCATTATCTGTAGAAGTAAAAGAGTTACTGCTTGCATAATAGAGGCAAGCGAAATAGAAGGACTGACGGTATGGACCAGATACTGCACCACAACTTTGCAGGACCAACCTAGCCTTGAGTATATTGTTTTGCACTCATTGGCGTGCTAGTTGTTATACTATCAATCCCTAAGACGGGCCGATATAAATAGCCGCACTGAGTAGCAAATGTTTAGTAAAGTATTCATCTGAGGAACTGGAGGCAGCTCTTCTCTCAGGCGGCAACTACTTACTAAGGCAACACAGGCAGCTTTGTATTTCAAAAGCGAGTAGCTGCTTGCATACTACACCGAGGCGGAGAGCTTAGGCAGCTTATCAGAAAGCAACAAATTCAAGAAATAGTATCAGGATATTCGAAGCGAAATAGCCATTTGCACGTAGGTAACTAGTCAAAGATCTTTGCGCCAGTGGAGGATCGCCCACTTTTGTTCAGTATCCACGATCACGTGAAGGACAAGTAAGACTTTTTTATGGATTGACGATTATATAGCGCTTATTTTTGTGTTCCGACTCTCGGGTCCCAGAGTACTTGTTTGAGGTCCGCTGGAGCATAGGTCGTAATGATTGAAGGGCTATTATCTATAGGACTATTTTTTATTTTATTATTTTATTTTATTTTTACTTTTTGAAACTTCACGACTGGCTGCAAGGAAATGAGTCCGTGCCGTTGTTATTAACGTCTATATTTTATTTTACTTTCCTGGTTCTACCTCAAGGGTCAAAGGGGACTGCACTTCTACTACATTATCGACAGGTACCGAATTCAAAGACTGTCACGTCATGTATCTAAATCCACTCCATTCATCTCCCTTATCTCTTTTCGCAGCTTCAACGCTGTCGTACCGACCATTCCGTATATCGCCATAAGTGTCTACAGCGTCTCCAATGACTTCATCGCGTTCTCCACGGTCACGACGTGCATTTTCTCTGCGTAATAAAACGTGGAGAGATATCGAACTGACGAGACCAACTACAGTAGCAGCGACAGAAAAAGAGTTTCCGGGAGTGTATCGAGGAGCGTCCTGCTCGCGAAACTACATTTTTACCTCTATCAACCCGAACATAACTGTGCACGTTGCGAGGCACTGACCAAGTTGATGGAAATAACTCCCACTACATTTGACCTTGGCATCGTGATTAGCAGAGTCTGTCTGACAAAACTAGGCAGAAACACACACATCGATATTATGATTGCAACGGAAATACTACGCTTGTACGAGTTATGGATATTGTTCGATGACCATGCTCTAAATTTGGAAGAGGTCAGTTAAGGCCTGACTTCACAAGGTTCTGCTAAGTATCTAACAGTATGTTCGCTAGACAAGATTAAGTCAATGATGTGACAGATATCTTTGATATGCATGCACTCACCAGTTGCAGGGTATACGGAACTGTTTCAAAATCGTTGTTAGTGCTTGCAGCGTTTAACAAACATACATTAGATGCCCCCACAATGCAATCATGTATGTTGCAAAGTACGAGAGAGCCGCATTTCTAGAAAGCATCTGCATAAGGCAGCCCGTTAATGCTGTAGGTATCGCGTAAGAGTCAAGATCCTGCAGCAGGAATCCAGAGATTTTTTCTTACCAAAGACGAACAGTCCACTAGGCGAAACATGCGTCAACAAATAACTCTCGACGAAGATTAGAGGGTCTCACATAGAAATGAGTCCACGTATTCTAAAACGGTCAGCAGAGTAGTTAACGAGACACGAAACTGCAGCAGCTACAAGGTGCACAGGCACAGTGAGCAGATTTGCCTTATTCGCCGTAAAGCCTTGAAGCAAAGATTAGATAACACAAACATGCGTAACATAGATTCTCACCTAATTGAGAAATAATGGTCGGAAGGAAAAAGGACATGTTATTGTTTCCAGCAGTTGAGCCTACAATAGGAGAGTAAATCAGCCTGTGCTATAGATTTTGTCCAAAATCCTAGAAAATCAGCGTACCGCAACTGATGAGCCCTCCAAGCCACGTCTTCCAGTCTGTGAAAGCACTCCGAACATCACGCCATCTCAGCTGTTCTTCGGAGTCGGAGAATTGATCATCTGTTTGTAGACGGTGAACAATGTAAACACGCTCCTGTTCGGAAAGGAAGCGGGCGGTAGAGGGATAGTCTTGGATGATAATGAACGACGCAGTAGACGCCACGACGGTGATAAGGCCTTCCAAAATGAATATCCAGGCCCTAAATCGTACTTGCATATAAGTGGTTTCATGCGTTTCATTATTGATCAACTCACCAGACAGGTTTCCCTGCGACGCCGTCCATATTTGAAATTGCCGCCTGAAATATTTCAGTGGGAGGACATATTACTCCATGCTACCGGACTTACAGCGAAAAATCCATTGAATGCACCCGCAATGGAAGTCCCGGAGTAGAAAATTGCGAAACGAAGTCCGAATTCGTCACGTCTATACCAACTTCCAAGAGCATTTATCCATATCAGTATCCTGTGATGATGGACAGTATGATACCATACCAAGACATATAAAATGCAACACCAGGATAGAAACCGGCCTCGAAGATGCCGAGAAAGATTCGGGTTGCTGAAGCGCGTCGAAAAGGTCAAACCAAGGGTAAAGAGTATCAGAGAAAACGAACTTAGCAAACTCCCGTAGTCATGGACAAGACCCTGCATTGTCTTCGAATCTTATTCAAGACGATGACCAGCGACGGGTGGGCTGAAACAAATTCACGGACCATGGTAATGCCCCATAGAAGCATTAAAATTGGTAGCCAAATCGATGGTCTCGTGCGTTTAAGGCACATATTTGCAGGTACCTATAGGCATATGCCAGCATGACCTCTCAACTCGAGGGAAAACAAAGAAAGAGAAGCGGAGGCTCACCTCACAGAGAACGTATGGCACATAGAACAACGAAAGACAAATCAGATACTGGGCATCCGATATATGGAGGTCTGCTTCCAAATTGTACAGCTGTGGTTTACCGCATTCTTAAACCTAATCTTCAATTATTAAATGGTTATACGCACGCGCGCATTTCCGATATTCGACCTGTCCAGAAAGCACAGCATGTACAGAATGGCCAGCCAAGGGATTATAGTGAGATCAATACGTCGTAGGAGTCGCTTCTCGTTAATTGTGTTACTTGGCTCCTCGGTGTCTGGAGCCTCTGAACTTGCTTTCTCGACGCAGCCGGATAACGGCTGCAATTTTCCGAACTCTATGTCGAAGCGCGCTTTCCCTGCATCGCAGTTTAAGGCTCCCGATTTCTTGATGGGTAGTTTGTCGTCTGTCATCCTGGAGGTCGGAAGGATTTCTCTTGCCGAGTGTAACCTGGCTTTAATATGAGTGGCATTTACGTCCAAGTGAATGTGCCGTGCCGCGCGGTCCTGAGTCTGTAGTACTGAGCATATTCGCGATCATTGGTGCAAGTGTACTAGGCTTCTAAAAGTCCACGTTTGGACTGAACATGGTGTATTTGAATGATAAAGGAGAGGTCATCGGATGGGCGTGGACCTTGCGGAAGTCCTCGAGAATATTCACATGATCTTTTTATAATGCTACCAGTCCTTGAGATCGGCCAGTTAAAATAGCTGAACTTCGCGGAATATGTTTAGCCAAGTATTCATGGGAGAAACTTGGGACAGTTCGTCTCTTAGGCGGCATCTTCTGGCCCAGGCAGTGCAGATGACCTCTTCTATCGGAAATAAGTGGGCAACTGCAGTCCACAACTGAGCAGAGAGCTTAGGTACCTCATCAAGAAGAAATAGTTTCGGCAGGACGAGAAAGCGAAGAATACCGCCCAGCCGTCTGCAATGCAGAGAAGCAGTTCCCAAGAATAATACCGGTGCGTACGAAGCGAGATAACCACTCGCACGTTATCAAAAATGTGCGGAGAAGTCGGACCTGCGGATATATCACAACTTTGCCTACCTTCGTTAAGTGTCACTCCGACCACATGACCGGCCAGACAACGTTCAGCGGATTAGACGGAAATAGAAACAGGAAAACAAGGTTATTTAGCACTTACTTCTATACGCCGACTTTCGGAGGCCCTGTACTTGTTTGGTTCAAGACGAAAACAGAGGGCCTAATGAATGGCTCCGTTTCCCTGATTCTATACATATAATAATAATGCAGGAAGAGCACAATGTTTAATGTCGGCTAGTAGATCGGTCCACGTACAGTCAGACCGTTAGGTCAACCAGGCATATGAAAATGTAGAGCATATTAAATGGCAGTTGTTCAGAGAAATGGCCACGTAGGAGATGAGCTGTAGTGTTGAAAATATTCTTTTGTGACATGATAATTCAGGAGAACGCTTATAGCTTGAGATGTGACAGCACGTGCACCAATAGCGTATTCTAGATGAATCGTAGTCGACTGTGGAAAGTATCGAACAGCTGAGCAAACCAGCGGCTACTGTTCTTTAAGTCAAGAACCAAGCTAGTACACAAAGAACCTGTTCATCTCTGGTCATACATAGATTGAGGATATGTTCAAGGTGCTTGGCTCGTACCTTGGTTGCTATGACCATCAGCGGAGCTCCATGATCTGTAGAAGTGAAAGAGGAGTTGTTCGTAGAATGAAGGCAAGCGAAATGGAATAGTTGACGGTATGGACCAGATGCTGCACCACGACTTTGCAGAATCAATCTGGCGTTGAGTATATTGCTTTGCACTCATTGGCTGGCTAGTTGTAGATGCTATCGTTAGTCCGCAGTTTAAACGAGCAACAATCTAATCCCATGCTTCGAATCGTCATATGATATCGACATGTCAAATCGCGTCGTACATACTTTTTGGCTATTCTACGCGCAAGTGCGCAGCCAGGTTTTCCGCCCGTCAAAGGGAGCAGGGTTTCGCGCGTGAAGAGTTGTCAGCTGCCACTCCACTCCACGATCCACATCCGCCCTGGCGTACTTAAGAGTAAAGTAACAATGTTGTGCCTTCAACTAGCGAGAACTAATGAGACAAGCCGGTTGCTTATCCCGTCAATAGCGAATTGGAGCGATTGGCTCTGCTCGGACTGTACTTAGATCAACAGCTTTGTCTAGTGCTTCGTCAAGCTCTCCTATTAGTAGGCTTGAAAAGAAATTAGGGAGTGGTAGGTGCTTGAACGGGAAAAGCAGACAGACATCTGGTCTCCTTTCACGAGATATAGTCCGAGAGGTACTTCTTCAACACCTTCCTCCATGCTATATATTCGTTCCACGCAGTCCGAAAGGACGATATCCGAACGTTGGTCAAAACCTGCCAGAACGCCCTAAGGATACAAAATACGAGATATATCAACGTTCTGTATGTGTAGTGTACGACTCACGTACGACTATGGTTCGACCGTCTTGAAGGACGAGGAGAACACGACCTGCAAGTAATTGAAGTGTAAACACGTCGAATAATGCGTCGACAGGCGAAAAGGCACACGACGCACGATCAACGTAGCCTGCGAGACTGGACATATTCTGTCCGCTCTATAGTGCACTTCAGGCTTGAGCTTTCAGCGTTGTCGCTGGGTAAGAGCGCGTCGTCGTTGGCGGCAGCAAGCAGGCGCTGTCACGGCGAACGGCCGTAACACGCGCCTCACGCGCTTCAACAAACGCATAGCTCTACACCAAACCACCATGGCGCCCGTACCTCCACGTCCTCGTACGCCCCTTCGGCGCCTCTCACAAGGATCTTTACGCGCACTGTCGCGCTCAGGTTCTTTTCCCGACGCGCCTGCAGGCCTTGGTTTCCTGGAACCGGCCATGGCTGAACTGGCAGATGAGACAGAGGCGTTGAACGGCAACCTTGCAGGCCTGCACGCGTTGAGCAACTCCCTGCAAGCATTCAATGACAGCTTCGCCAGTTATTTGTATGTAATGGAAATGAACGCGTTGACAACCGACTGGCCACAGGTACGTGTCGGTAATTGCTCCGATTTCAAGTCGAAGGAGATTAATGAGTTTTGGAAGGCTCCAACTGAGTCGTCATACGAATTGGCTAGAAAACGTGCAGGTACTTATTTTGTGGACATATTACATGCTATCTCCTTAAGTATACACACCATTAGAGGACGACGCACGAGCGGCACAAGCTGCCTTGCGTGCTGCAGCTGAGGCAGCGGAAGCAGCAGAACGAGCTGCTGCCGAGGAAGCACAGCTTGCTAACGATACCACCGTCGTTAGCACATCCACAGCTCCTGGGACGAAATCCAAGGTGCCTCAAAGCATTCTCAAGAACACGGCTGCACAGCCCAAGAAGAAAGTAAAGCCGAAGATGACGCCCAAAGAGAGGCGTGAACGCAGCGTGCGTTACCACAAACACCATCTAAGGTTATCCAACTGATAGAATGCCTATATAGCTTGCTATCGACAAAGTTGTGTCGAACCTTCCTCTTGAGTATAGAGGACAGGATCCAGTGTGTAACTCCATTAAACTATTCGATCCCAATTGACACCCGTCCTTAGAATCTCAGACGAAGCGTCGAATCTGTAATCGAACTATTAATGGATAATCCTGGCGGTTTAGAGAGTACGTTGCATCCCGCAGCTCTTTAACAAATGCCAGACTGAGACTATTATTCACAGTGTTGCACTTCGTCAAACCTCCCGAGATAAACCAGGCACGAGCTAACAAATGTCTTCTGGCATTAATGAACAGAAAGATGGTGTCTAAGGATAATAGTTCTGTAAGTTTTGCTGTTCGATTTTCAAGCAATTCCTGTACCTGAATATTCGCAGGGCCGAATATTATACATGTGGCATGGTTTGCCTAGTTGAATTATGACATCTATCCACTAGATGAGATCCTCAATATCGGGGAAGACACGCCACCAATTAACCCGGGAAAGCAGAAGAATTCTACACGGTGTCCCGGTGGAGCAGTTAGCTCCTTGTTCCCTGCATTCTAGACAGAACAGCTGATCAACTCACTGCTATTCACAAACAAAAGATAGTGGACAAGCACTCCCCCAGCAACGTTGATATATTTTCTCTGGACAAGTCTCGAAGCAATTCATTGTAATTACCTCGCGGAATGAAGCCATAGGCGCTACTTCGGCCTGATACTTCTCTGCTAATATTCTTGACTAGCACGTACTGGGTCAGAATACCATCTCAAACGCTTCCTCCTACCTGCACGGAACGCTCGCCACAGAGGATATCCAGAGAGATTTAACAAAGAATCATTTGCTATAGAGAACCAGTGGGGCCAATTTAGACCACTCCGGTGTACAGAAACACGCACTCGTTCCAATGATTACGCGTCGGGCCGAGAAACGCGTGAAGGAAGTATTTGTGTTATTGAGTGACTTTTCCTTGGCCATCGACAATATGAAGCCCACCTCTCCGTTATCACTGTCCAGCCTTCTCAGTGGACATATGCTGAGCATCTTTCGCAGAAGCTCTCAAGATAAATTCAACGGCGTATGTAGTGCTCAGTAGAAGCAGTGGGGCAATTTAGACCACCCTGACTACAAAGACACCTACACGTCCCAATGATTACGCATTGGGCCGAGAAGGCTCGCAGCGGAGGCATTTTCGTTTATTGAGTGACTCTCTTGGCTATAAACAATGTGAAGGCCATCTCTCCGTTATTACTGTTCAGCCTTCATATGCTGGCTGTATCTTCCACTTAAAACCCGACCTTATTTGCACGTCGTTAGGCCAGGCTAATTGATACTCGCTATGGCTGCTACTTCGTATGACCTTCATTTCCGTCTAGTTGATGGTATCAAGGTGCCGTCGCCCGGTGAGTACCTTGAAAAAGGAGTCGCAGAATGTACTGATTGGCTATTTACGGGACTAGGTTATGGTGGCATGAGCTTGAGTAATATGTATGGCACTGCTAATGATGAAGATAGCAAGGCATTACTTCGGCGTGCCATTAAGATTGGTCTTGTGAGGGCCCTTCATTACTGTTTCGTAGGACAGCATTCTGAAGACAAATACATCGCTAGACTTTCTGGGATACGTGCGTGCAAGGCTAGCCCTTGTCCTGTTTTGCTGAGATTTGTATCGATCAATCCTAATTATCCTTTAGCGCTGATGTCTATGGTAGTGGTCATAAGTATGCACTTTTCATAACTATAATCACTGACATCGAAGTCTGATCTTGTTCCTTGTCATGTATGAGTACAGTGAAGAACTTATCGGTGACTAACCTCGGGGGCTCCTCTGTAATCTCAGCCGTGTCTTTATAGATGATTTTATTACCTAGGCTCCGTTCTTGCCGAGGGAGATAACCGGGCTAAGGTATTTCTCGCGACGAAGTTCAGCCGTGAACTCGATCCTGTAACGAATAAGCCTACTGGAAGAATCAGAGGTACGCCGTGTCATAACGTTCGTCGTCCGTTTACTGACGAGGTAATTTTGCATTTGAAGGCGATGCAGCATACATCAGGCAAGCCATTGAGGCCTCGATAAAGCGTCTCGGCACGACACCTGATCTGTATAACCAGCATCGTGTTGATCCCAACGCGTGAGCAAGCCTTCGCATCCATTGGACATCTTTCACCTTACATTTGGGGTATGATCTTTAGCAGCCTGGAGGAGACCTACGGTACTCTCGAGGAACTACGCAAGGAGGGGAAGTTTAAGTATATCGGTATATCGGAGCCAAATGCGGAGACACTTAGAAAAGCAGCCAAGGTGCATATTTGGTCTTCATCGACTTTTCTGCGCGCCTTGTTGATTGTATTCGAGCAGATAGCAAAGATCTCCGCACTCCAAGAGGAATATTCGCTTTGGACAACGGACATTGAGAGAAGTACGATTTGCAACACGTGTATACCATTGACAGCATGTTGATTAGAGTCTTTGAAGATGGCATTTTGCAGACGACTAGAGAACTTGGGATTCCTATCGTCGCATATTCTCCGTTAGGACGTGGTTTTCTAACTGTAAACATTTGAAACACCTGAATTATTAGAAATATCATGCGAAATATTCTTCGTTTTGTGAGGGCGAGGTCAAATCATCCGAGGATATTGAACCAATTGACATCCGACGCCGCTTTCCACGATTCACCCAAGAGAATATAGACAATAACATGGAGGTAAAACATTCTCCCAATATTCTCCTCCCCCTACCCTAGACTGATAGGACCAAATTCCCTTCATCGTTTACACGTCAATAGATCGTAGAAAAGCTTGATGCGATAGCAACCAAGAAGGGAATCACGTCCGCTCAGCTCGCACTTGCATGGGTTGGCTCGCAAGGTGAGGATATCATACCGATATTCGGAACAAAGTCGTTTACGCGACTCGAGGAGAATTGGGCATCACGCGACGTGGTGCTCACAGAAGAACTGAAGGAGCTGCGTAAGGTGGTTGATGGATTTGAGGTTCGTGGGGAGAGATATCCAGAGGGTATTGCGAAATATATCGGGAATTGAACCTCAAAGTAAATAATCACAGCCAGTGTTACAGTAGAGAAGGAGGTATATTATATAATGTGAAAGTAAATCTATCGTTCTGAGCCTCGAGGTTCAGTTGTTGACAGGTTATGATCCGTCACGTGCAATGCTATGGTAGGTAAAAAACACAGTGGATCCGATTCGTCCGATAGCCGCAACAGTCAGCACGCGGGCTGAAATAACTCTTGTTTGGAGCAATCGCGCTATTTTTCGTCAGAGTCACCTGAAAGTATATCTCACTAATGCACAGGTACACACGCATATATATACTCTAAATAGCCTGCTCCTACCTTCTCTAATAACCCACATCGCTCTTGCTCCAGTATTACTCCAGACAGTTCAGGGCCATCGACTAGCACTCGGCAAAGATGGCTACCACGTTCGAAATCCGTACCCGTGAAATAGGTGGGGTTAAGGTACCCTCTCCCGGTCAGTGGCATGGTAAAAATCGAGAGAATTTGTTATAACGGGATCGTGAACTAGGTTTCGGTGGGATGAGTCTGAGTAACATGTATGGCTCTGCCAATGATGAAGAAAGCAAGGAATTGCTCAGACATGCAATTAAGATTGGTTTGGTGAGTTGACTTAGTACCATATATTGTGGATATATAATTCTGACCCCCGACTTCTCAGACTTTTTGGGACACGTACGTGAATCCTATCTAGCTTCTTCAGTGAACATTGAAACGGTTGATTATTTGCTGTTTTAATCATTTACAGAGCTGATGCATATGGAACGGGCCACAAGTGTGTACATTCTACTTGATGCTTTGATAATTTAGAACTGGGCTGATGTGCTGTGATGTACTTGATTTATAGCGAAGAGCTTATCGGTGAGTGGGCTTGAATCTCATAACTCTGTGCCATCAATGACAACATTGCACAGGATCTGTTCTTGCGGAAGGAGACAACCGGTCCAAGGTCTTCCTCGCCACGAAGTTTGGTTTCGAAATTGACCCAGTTACGGGGCAGTCCACTGGGAAGATTAGAGGTTCGGCTTTGTATAGAATTCGTTCTCTAACGTCATTGTTGACGGACATTCATTGGCAGGCGATGCCGCTTACATCCGTCAAGCCATTGCAGCATCCATTAAGCGCCTCGGGACAACTCCAGACTTGTACTACCAGCATCGTGTTGACCCTAATGTGTATGTTTTCTCATTCTCACAACCAGTCACCCCTTTGTTCAAGAGATGCGGATTTTCAGGAGCTTGGAAGAGACTTATGGAACACTCGAGGAATTGCGCAAGGAGGGGAAGTTCAAATTCATTGGTATTTCAGAACCTAGTGCAGAGACACTTAGAAAGGCGGCAAAGGTGCGTATATGCGCTTTTATGCAGTGAATAATCAACTCATGAATATCATTCTTATAGATAACGAAGATCGATGCTCTTCAGATTGAATACTCACCATGGACGACAGATATCGAGAGAAGTAAGTTTGTTTTTCCCCGATTATTACTGATATATTAATTCAGGCGAATGCGTCGAAGATGGAATACTGCAAGCTGCCAGAGAACTAGGGATCCCTATCGTAGCATACTCTCCACTGGGTCGTGGGTTCTTGACTGTAGGCAATCGATTATAAGTTTGAAGGTCATCAGGAGAAGAGCAAACAGTTTTCTAGGGTCGGTATAAATCCACGGCAGACTTTGAGTCTAACGATAGGCGTCTTGCACACCCGCGATTCTCGCAAGAGAACTTCAATCAGAATATTAAGGTCAATCTACCTTCCCACCACCATCTTCATCTCTAACACAACGAACATCCTTGCATTCTCTCTCTAGATCGTAGAATTACTTAACGCTATTGCCACCAAGAAGGGAATCACGCCTGCCCAACTCGCTCTTGCCTGGGTTGCCGCACAAGGCAATGATATCATTCCAATCCCAGGCACGAAATCCATCGCGAGGCTTGAAGAGAATTGGAAATCGCGCGATGTGAAATTCACAGAGCAGGAATTGAAGGAACTACGACAGGTGATTGATGGACTTGAAGTTAGTGGTCAGAGATACCCCGATGCAATGATGAAGCATATTGGGAAATGACCTGCCAGTGAGTATTGGCAATATGAGATTGCCGAAATGTTGGTGAATTCGAAATCGTCCAGCATAGTCGGTAAAGTGAAGAGAATATTTACGAAGGATAGTGGAATAGTTAACGGAATAGTTCTGTATCGTAGTTTTACCCGTGGATGAAACAGGGTGTGTAAAGATCAATAAATATATGTATGTACATGTCCCCACTCGCAGTAATCACTGAATGAGTTCGTTGACTGGTGCGGTCGCCTCAGGCTAATCTAGACCGCGAGAATTGCCGATTGACATTTAGAGACATGCCACCCTATATTCCCCTGTTCTTTCGCTGTCCATCCCACTACAGAATGTACATTGCCGGGATACACATCTCAAACGAACACCTTGCATTGGGTGCTGAGGGCGCTATCGCTTTATCACTCTTCATATATACTGCTGCTGGCGTATATCTCACGCGCAGCTCGTTGAAAGTCGCCGAAGAAAAGGGCGGCCAGATAAAGTCGATGCCGACGTCTCTTGTTGGGAAACTTGTTACACCCATGCACGGAGTCGCAATAGTGCTTCCAGCTATAATATATTTAGTTGCACTCCCGCTGAACGGATACGTTCAACCTCATTTCATGACTTGTTTTGCCTTGCCGAACTTCGGGCTCAATCAGGATGCCGTGAACTCGCTGAGGGTAGCTTCGTGTGTAGGCTTGATTGGTACCTGGAAACTATTCAGTCAATGCATCAGCCTACTAAGAAACAGCGGCACTCTTCATAGTATCGGAGTATGTCGATTGTACCGTGTAACTCACTCTGCTGTCGACAGGGACATTAATTTAGGTGAGGGAGAAGCCGAAACTCATTTCTTCAGGACCATTCGCACTCGTCAGGCACCCATTAGGCAGGTGAGTATTAGTTCACTCATTGATTCATTTGCTTTTCTCATGTCTTTCCTTCAGTTGTGCCTTACTGCAGGAGTTAATACTTGCGGGAATGACATGGAACTTTATACCGCTTTGCGCCTTTGCTGTTTGCGCTCTCGCATTTGCGGTGAAGGCCCCCATAGAGGTCGGTCGCATCGAACGCAATGCTTTCGCTTCCTTTGCTGACATTGACACACAGGAGACTCTTATGGAGTCAGATGCTGAAATAGGACCGCAGTACAAAACATACAAGGAGAAGATGCCCTACCGATTTATTCCAAGAATTTGGTAGTTGTTCGGATTTCGAACGAATCTCTGTAGCTTACAGTATACGATCTTCTTTGGAAGCAAAGCCAATAGTATCATTCACCCTATGTCCAAGTCCTGCACTATACTGTACTGGCACTATGCATGAAAATAGCATTTATAACCTTCACACATGTAGTATCGAGTCAATATCTTTACTATAGACTTCTAGTAGGCCAGTAAAATAAAAGCCAAGGACTTTATGGATATAGAAGTATGAGTATCTTGCTGAGAATGTCTGGACTGCCCTCGGGCCTTCTTCGAGCGAATTTTACAGAGTAAAAAGATCATCTTTGAGATTATGGGACAGTACTCCTTCACTAGCTTTTTTGGACAGTCTTCCAAGCCTGCTTAAATCTAGTTGAGGCATTAAATCATCATTAAGGAGGGTATCGCACTTATCTAGATTGCTCTTACCTGAGTTGCTGCACAGTTAATGGTATTGTAATGATATTGTTCTGATACCAGCAACGAAATCCATTGCAGGATTTGTGAAGAGAATTGGAATTCATGCGCGACGTGCAGTTTATAAAGGGAATCGAAGATCACGGGGCTACAGCACGTAATTGGCGTATTGAGGAGAGATACCGGTAGCTTGAGACGATGCTGAATCATCATGATATCAGGGTGTGACTTGGATGGAGTCAGTATGGGGTTACGGAGTAGCCAGCGAATTTGATGTTGTTTGGTCTAGTGCGCACGAGGAATTATAGTGGACCAGTATACTGAATGTTCTACCGTGAGCGGACCAGGAAGCGTGAAGATCAATAGAGTCTATGCTGGGCGTGTCCGAATACCATGTACGTTTCAATCCTCAGTGATTACTGATGAAGTGGCTGACTGAGGCGGTCTCCTCTGGCCACAGCAATTTAGACCGTGAGAATCTCCGATTGAAATTCATGTTATATGTTCAGGCTCCGGCCTTCAGACTCTACATTCTCGTTCTCCTTCGCCGTCTCCATCTTACCACAAAATGTACATCGCCGGGATACACATTCCAGGCGAACACCTTGCTTTGGGTGTCGAAGGCGTTGTTACTTCATCGCTCTTCATTTATACTGTTGCTGGCATACTTTTCACGCGCAACTCGTTGGAAGATGCTGAAGAAAAGGGTGGCCGAATAAAGTCGATGCCAACGTCTCTCGTGGGGAAACTTGTTACTCCCGTGCACGCAGCTGCGATAATTCTTCCGGCTGTAACATATTTGGTCGCAGTCCCACTTAATGGATGCGTTCAACCTCAATTTATTACTCGATTTGCCTTGCCAAATTTTGGGCTCAGTCAGGATGTCGTGAATTTGTTGAGGATAGCATCGTGTGTAGGCTTGATTGGGACCTGGCAGTTGTTTACGCATTGTGTCGGCCTACTGAAAAACAGTGGAACTTATCATAGTGTTGGAGTGTGTTGGTTTGTATTGTACACCTTATTCAATCATTCATACCGACTTTGACTTAGGTGAGGGAGAAACCGAAGCTCATTTCTTCAGGACCGTTCGCAGTCGTTAGACACCCATTATACAGGTGGGTATTAGTTTACCCATCGATTCATTTACTTCTCTCACGTCTTTCCGTTAGTTGTGCATTACTGCAAGAACTAATACTTGCAGGGATGACTTGGAACTATATACCGCTCTATGCCTTTTCTGTTTGCGCTCTTGCATTTGCGGCGAAAGCCCCCATAGAGGTTCGTTGCATTGAGCGTAATCTTTTCGCTTCATTGACTCACATGGACACATAGGAAAGCCTTATGGAGTCAGATGCGGAAATGGGACTGCAATACAAAGCATACAAGGAGAAGGTGCACTACCGATTTATCCCTGGCGTCTGGTAACTGCTCGGATTTCGAACGGATCTCTACATCATACAGTATACTACCTTTTCCAAGATAATGTCAGTTGCCATTTACCTATTCTTTTACTTCCTGTCCTGTACAGTAGGAGTACAAAGTGCAGTAATAGTCCATGTAGCCTTCACACCTGTCCAATCTGCTCTATCACTGCACAGGGTAATGGCATTTTTTCTGATACCAGGAACAAAATCCATTTGTGTGCCTTGAAGAGAATTGGAAATCGTGCAATCTGCAGTTTACAGAGGAGGAATAAAAGGACCTGCGACAAGTGATATTGGTAGATTTGAAATGAATGGCCGGCGATATTTCAAAGCAACGTCGAGGTGCGTTGGCGGGTGACATGTGTGACCTAGTATGAAATTACGGAAAGGCTGGCGAATTTGAGACTAGCTAGGTTAGTTTGTGAATGGAAGGAAATATTATCAAAGAACAACGTGATAATTCTGTGCCGAGAACTTACCCGTAAGTGTAGAGAGGAGCGTGAAGATTAGGATAGGTGTATATAATCCGTTTACAAGGGGATACATTTCGTACATCGGTTTAGCTTCCGTTTACAATCAGTTAACCATTTATTACGCTCCTATGTGTTCGCAGAGCGAATCCACGAAATATGCCTTCGAACAAGCTCGTCAACAATATCCTCTTCGATCTCCTTCCCCATGTGCGATGCCTGCTCGGTTATCCGAAGCCAGGTCTCCTCTATATTCGTTGATCTTGAGTTAATCCCATCTGGAGTGGAAGTAGAAGCAGATGAGGGAGATGAAGCTGTACGAGCGACGAATACAACTTCGTATTTTCGTGTGTGAAGTTCGTTCCCGATGACCACTTGATGTCCGTACCGTTCCAGTGCGGCGCGTGCTTTCGGGACAAGGAGAGTTAAGTCGGTTTCAAGCTGCGGAGAATTGATATCTAAGGGTAATTCATCCTTGGTATAGGACAATACGTGCCTTAAAAGAAACGATGAACCCTTCTGGTGTCCACTCGTCGACCATAGGCTTAAGAATCTTCGGTACTTGATCCATCTCAATTACCAGACTTCCTTTACCCGATTGGATCTTGTGCTCGCTCTAAACAACATTAAGCGGTCAAAAAATGCATCCTTGGGGCACACAAGGTAGCAAGAGAGGTGGTAAAAAATATTCAAAACATACCATCTTTTCCCTTGGCAGGAAAAAATCACTAACTGCTGCAGCAAGGTAGTACATTGCGTTTCGGCCGAGTACGCTCAGCTCCTTTGAAACAGCACGTAAAAGCCACAAGTACTCGTTCACAGTGACAAACGTTAGAGTATGCAAAGTGCCTGACTTGTGCACCGCCTTGTAAGCCGAGAGTACGCTTCGTAGATGTTCTGGATCGGCCGATCGTACGGTAATTGCAGGGACACTACTAGGCGAACTGTTGGGTGGATCTTCTAGCTCTAAGAAATCTAAGAAAGGGTTTGTCGAGTGAGAATAGTGCCGGCTGTACGGTTGTAGACTGTGTTGTCTATGCATAAAGATGACGGCGTATCCAGCCCGAAGGAAATATTCTGCGGAGGTAGCGCCTCTTGTTCCTATATGTAGCATGATAAGGGCTAAATATCGACGCGAGATGAGGTAAATACCGCACCAGCGCTGAAGTTATCCAAGAAACGGACGCTACGAGACCACTACTAAGGCTCTCGACTCGCCGAAAGGCAGTGAATGACCACAGAGACTCACACATTGAGTTCTAAAGGTACAGTCGTTCCACCACTCTTTATTATTCAATTTTTCTTCTCAGTTGGAGTATATTTTGAGAGAAAATAAAAACGCACTGTAACAAGAACGACTTTCCGACCGGCCACTGCATGACGAGCAATAAAAGCACGAGTATGCGAGATATCTGAGTCTAATGTTGCAGGCGGTGGTTGTGTTGCAAAGTATGTCTCCGCCGAGAACGGCTTGTTTGAGGTTGACGGCAACGGATTCACCGTCGACGACATAGCAATTTCCGACGTGCACTTCAATGATGAGGACAGGAGAAGACGACACGACTCGGTGATCTTGATACGATCACGTGCAGGAAACGCGTCTTCCTGACACGTTTTTGAAGTCCGACTTTACCGACACAACAAATGATTGAAGTACCACTTTCAGAATAGACACAACCGAGTAACCCGAAATTCAAGTATTTTAAGAAATAGCGGATGTAGATGTGTACATACAAAGTTACAAAAAGAATATACAGGGCAGAAGGTCCACTTGTAAGATTCAGTTAACTTTTGGTTCCGTATTTAAAGAAATAAAAAGGCGGAGGATACGAAGAATGAGGTAAGTGATTCTGGAAAAACGGAAAAATGGAAGGGTGAGGGGTATACGCGACATGTAGGGATATAAATTCCGCTGAATCAAGAATACTGCCACGTAGGTCCGGTCTGTGCGTAAAAGGTAGGCGTGGCAAAATCCCAGGGGTGTGACGAGACATATTGATTAGATTGGCTTCCAGAGGCGTAGTTAGTGTTAAACGCGGTGCCGTTGCTTCCTGGGTGTCCGAAAGGACCACTCGTATGCATACCTCCGTAAACGTTGGAGTTCTGCGGAAACCATTGATTAAACAAGCTATTGGCATCTGTGTCGTTCAAGCCAGTTGTAGTCCGCCAAAACGAGGAGTCCGTCTGCATTCCCCGTCCACAAGGAGCGCTGGCGTATGGATCAGGATGCGCATATGTTGGCATAGAAGGTCCTGGGAAACCAGTCATCTGCATACTCTGGACTCCTGCATGAGTTGCCTGTATTTCATTGCGGAAAGGTTGAGTAATTTGAGGATGTCCTGAGGGAGTATGGGTTGTGTTAGAATAGTTCTCCGGCCTAGTTCCCGATGAGTTTCTCTCGAAAGTTGAAAGCTGTAGGTTAAATTAGATATTGTGTATCCTACAAAAAGTAAGGGAACGTACGTCAAACCCATTAGGTTGCAATGAGTTTGGGCTGGGTTGCAGGAAATTTGGTGCATAGACAGGCTGAGGAGCATGCACTTCCTGCGGTTGCCGTGTCTGGAAAGACTCGGTGGTCGTAACATTGGGAGAGGTAACGATGGTATCGGGAACATTTCGTCCGGATTTCCGCTTCGATGGACGTCTGCGTTCCGCTGAGGCCTCTACGTCCGGTGCGCCAGACCGTTTAGGAATTCTCGGACGTCTGGGTTTCGGTTGATATCTATAATTCGGATAGCGTTTCTGGTGCTCCTTCCTGATGTCTTCTGCCCGCTGGTCCCAGACCTGTCTCTCTTCGGGTTTTAAGTCTTTCCAAAGTTGAGCGATGACTTTCGATCGGGCCCCGGCCCTCTTCACATTATCGAGTTCGGGAATGTTACGTTTATCCGTCGCCGTACGGAACAAAATGAAGCTGTTCGTAGGGCGAGGAATGTGTTCATCCTGGTCATTTGTCGAAGACTGATTGGAAGGCATTGAGGTTGACTCATTTCCGTCCAGTTCGGCATTGTTACCACCCTCTATAGCCTCTGAATCCGCGGCATCGACGACAGGCGGAAGGTTACATGTGAACTGCATCGCACCGGAATTGGCAACCGTGAATTCAGCTTGTGGATACGGGCCTGTAGATGTTGCTCTAGAGAAAGATGTATCAATAGTATTGTCTTTTTTAGGCATAGTGAATTTCGTTTCACTCGTCGAGGTAAAGGTCACTGATAGAAGAGAATTGTTAAGATGAATTGTTGCGTGTATCTCTTCGGGTCTTGTTTTGACAGTTAAATACCAATGTTGCTGGCCTTGCCTCAGTACTGTAGTGCTTAGACATTTCTTAGACCTCTAGAAATCCAAGCTCCGCGACGCTTTGAAACGGTGTGGCCAAGCGGCCAGACCAAAGTGTTTGTGGCCGGCTTATCAAAGGCTATTCCATTTCGAGAAAAAACACATGAGCTTTATAGAAAGAGCATACAGTCGCGCACCACGACGCTTGTTCTGCATAAGCGCGCCAGCTTATGGCACCATGGATATTAGGACACTTCCTGTGTAGTGTATTGAGAGGACTGTGGAGCGACTTGACCCAAAACAAAGACAAACAACTGCTTTTATTCATTTCACAAGCAGAATACAACTTCATATACCATAGGCGAGTACCAAGAGACCAAGACTCGGAACAATGTTCTCGAAGTATTGTGGCACAGATCTAGAGTGTGGTGAAGTGAAAGTATGACTATTACGCGTGTGGCAAATTCCGATTCAATGTTGGTTGGTCATGTGACACGTGCATTTGTACTTTGTTCGAAGTCCACGACCACGACAACAGTCGTGGATATTTTCCCATCTTTAGAGATAAGCACCAATATTTTAAAATTGAATTGATTTAGGATATTGATACTTATATCTAATGATGGAAAATATCTGGATTGAATTGCTCAAAGAAATCCAGATGTCTTATGTGCAATGAATAACAACAGCTTCGATAAGAATAGACACCACCTTCGGTGATTCTCATGGGAATTATGTTCTAGGGCTATGGATCAAAACGATAACTTGATCTGAAAATCTACGTCACCTCTCTGTCAATTAATCCCTGCCAAAGCATCTCTCCAGAATGGCAAGTGCTTCCAAGCAGAACTTGGAAGAGTCTCTACGCGACATCTTTGTTCTAGCGGAAGCTGCACTTTCTGCGACTTCGATTAGTTCCACGATCACAGCATCGGACCTACCCGGTGCAGGACGTATTCTCGGAAATCTATACAGCTTTCTGGGGAAAAGATTAGAGGAGACGCTAAACAGGCTTGCGGAACGCTGTGGATACGGTCCTCGGGCGATTGAAGACCGCATTTTACGCACATGTCATAAACTCAAAGATGATATGTATGAAGATCTTGCCGTTGAGCTGGGTACTAAGAACGAACGCCTTCTCTGGAAGGACTTGAAGAAGCTTATTGCGTATACGAGGCATGTAGAGCTTTCGTCTCGTTGATGGTTGTTGTGCCTGATAGACTTCGTTACAGGTCCAACATTAAGTGTAATCGGGAAGCAGCATTCACTATTATCGCATCGATTGCAGTTGTCAATCCGCGGTTCTCTATTATTCTTCGTGATCTCGGAGCAATTCAAGAACTAGGACTTGCATGCGTTCGCGAAGAGGACTACATGTATACCAGCCATCTTCTCTCGCCATCTCGCAAGGCTCTCGTTTCTGTACTGGAAAACAACGTAAATAAGACAGGCTATGATTGGGCATCGGCTGCACGTACGATAGCGTCATTCGAACCGAAGACTTTCATGCATTTGGAAAGGGCAAGTGTGGCTGGGGTTTGTATTGAGGGATTGAACAAGTACGGGTTACTTGTTGCTTTCGTTGGCAGCAAGTGAGTCTTCAATTGTTGCATTCATCTCCATCGATTTAGTAACAAATACAAAACACCCTTTCTTGAAATAAGGTCGCCAGAAGAATCTTACCTTGCAACGCTTCATCTTACCAAACTTCAAAAAATACCCGCACACTTCTTCTGGAGTCTTCCAGATGCAGACGTGCAGGAGATTGGGCACCACCTTCATCGCGTCAATAGTTTTCTAGCACAGATCATTCATCATAAAGTTACGGAGGAACCGAATTACATTGACTGGCCCAGTCTTGCACTGTTGATCGGTCGCCTACAACACGACTTTTTATTGGTTCCCGGTTGCACAAAGGAGGTGATTGGGTTTGTGCATCAGTTAATGTATGTCAAAATTACTATTATTGCCAGTACTCGCCTAACTTTTGTTTAAGTGGTGATATCCTCGTTATGTCGCATGATAAGATTCCTGTTCGCATAAGAGCCGATGTTATTGCTGATCATGCCCGTATGGCACAATTGTTGTAACCGTGGATACCTGTATGTTGCGCTTGGAATAATCCGTATTGATATTATCGAACACTACACATTTTGTAAATGCCGCAAACCATAGGCATATATTTCATTGTCCGAGCTCAAACTCATCTCAATATTGTTATCTATTTCTAGTGTGTGCATATGTAGTATTGTATCAAACGAAGATATATTTAACTATTGAGCTTCACAGCAGGCACAAAGTTTTGTTCCTGATCATTTCATCATACATCACATAACACAGAGTTCAGTGAATCATAACAGATCCACTAATAGTCTACTTCTTAGGTGATTGTGATGGGCTCCAAGCCGACCTTGAGATTGATGATGCAAACCTCTCGACTGAGCCGTTGTCATGGATGAAACGCTGTGCGCTAGAACTATGCGTTAGGGCAATTAAATTGACCTGACGACCCGCACCACCTCTCAGCCAATTGACTTCTACTAAAGCGTCTCTTCAACATGCAAAATACTTCAGACCGGAATCTGGAAGAGTCTATGCACGACATATTTGTACAAACGGAAGCTATGCTTTCTGTAACTTCGATTAGTTCCACAGCTACGGCATCGGACTTGCCACTGGCAGGCGCAGGACGTTTGCTTGGAAACCTGTACAGTTTCCTGGGGAAAAGACTAGAGGGTGTACTGAATAGGATTGCAGAACCCTGTGGACATGGTCCCTGGGCAATTGAAGAGCGCGTTTTGCGCCTTTGTCTTGAAGTCAAGAACGGTATGCATGGGCGTCCTGTCATTGATCCGGGTACCAAGAACGAACGACTTCTTAGGAAGGATTTAGAAAAGCTTGTTGTGTATACAAGGCATGTGGAGGTTTCATTACATAATAGCTGTTGTGCCTGATACACATTCAGGTCAAATATTACATCTAATCGGGAAGCAGCATTCACAGTTATCGCAACAATTGCAATTGCCAATCTGAAATTCTCTTTTATCCTTCATAACATTAGGGCAATTCAAGCATTGGGACTTGTATGCATTTGCAAGGAGGACTACATATACACTAGCCACTTACTCTCACCATCTTGCAAGGCACTAATTTGTGTACTGGAAAGCAACATAAATAAGACAGGCTATGAGTGAATGTCTACTAGAAGCACAGGACTGTCATTAGGACTGGCATCCCTCATAAAATTGGGAAAGGCAAACATGATTGAGCTTTGCACTGAAAGACTAAACAAGTATAAGATATTGGTTGCTTTTGCTGGCAGCAAGTGAGTCATTCATTACTGGTTTTATTATTATTTATATGTATTAATTTCTTAATGAATCCAGACTTTCTCTTACAGAATTAAGGTCACCAGTGTTAGATATACTCACTTTACTAGTCCTGATCCTTAGGAATAGTAACAGAATAGAGTATAGAGGGTAAGACTTGTAGACTTGTAGAGTGAGAGGGTAGAGGAGTCCTGCTTTAGTCAAGCTGCAAGTGTAGCCTAATAGGTTGGTAGTAGAGTACTTCCAAGTACTAGGTAACTTAAGTTGATAAAACTATCTTTTGAGGGCCAAACTAGCCTCCTTATATACCTTTTGCTAGAGTAATGTTACTCTAGTGACTTTAGTAACTCCCTTCACTGTTGTTCCTATGAA